TCCCACTATAACTTTTGTTAGGAAACAACACACTTCTCCATATTAGTCCTGATGTGAAGTACACACAAAATAAAATACTTGATGGTAGGCAATCATCTGTGCATTATGGAAGGGGATACATATTTTGGCAGACTGCGTGTCCAGCCAGGTAGGACCAGTAAGCTACTGTTATAACTGTTTAAATGCAATGCATTATTAAATTGTTATGATAATAATTTACCCTCAGAACAATATCCAGCAATATCCAAAGGAAACATGAAGTACAAGGAGAAAATATTCTACAATGCTACATTCAGTTTAATGTACATTTCATCGCAAGGAAGATATTACTATGATCACTGTTGACCAGGGCTATTCAATTACAGATTCAATTGGGCCAGATTTTAAAACCAGAACACAGAGATGGGCCGGCCATTTTCTCACGAGTTGGGATCATTAGGATTTTATTGACACACTTATATTGGTAATCCTTATTGGTTCAGTTCTTTATTGATGCTCTTATCAGTCCTATTTATTACTAAATAATTGCATATTATTAAAAAAAATTTACATTTTTTATTAACTAAATTGTTTCTAAAGCAGCAACATGATTTACAACAGCAAAGTCACTAATATCTCACTAGAAACAAATCTAACATATCAGTAAAATAAATCCTATTCCTGACATCAACATACTGAGTGAAGTTTAGAAAGAATGAACAACTCAGTCCCTCCTGTCCTCCTCCTCCTTCTGCTGCTGCTGCTGGTAGAGAGGAGGGCTGGTCTGTTTCTACCAGCTGCGTTTATAATGTGCCATATTTTAATGTACGTGGCAAACTAAGCTGAACAGTTACTAAAGACAGTGCAGCAAAATTCTGTACGCAGTTTAACTCAACTAACAAATCGTTCTCGATTGACTGTGATACAAATAACCTAGTTAATTTATTTAATTCCTCATGCTCGTCCACCTTAGATTTTATAGCCCCTCTGAAAGCTAGACCTAACACCAAATCTGCTCAGCAGCCCTGGCTAAATGACTCTATTAGATACAGGAACGTAGAAAAGCCGAGTGCAGATGGAAGAAATCTGGTCTCCAAGTACACTTCATAGCTATGAAAGTTTTTCATCTTTTAATCTGCAATAATACAATGGTGAAAGATGCTAGAACACACTATTTCTCTACTCTCATCATTTCCAACAAGCACAATCCTAGATGCTTCTTTAACACTGTTAATCTCTTAGTAAATCCTACTCCTCCCTCTGCTTTGGCTGACAGCGAGTTCCTTGCTCACGTTATGACAAAGGTGGGAAAAATAAGATCTAGCATTAGCCCCTTTCTAGATGTGGACCACCCAGCTCAGGATCATTGGAGCTACTTCTCCCCAACCAATTTATTGGAACTCACTGAGACTTTGTCAAAGATGAGGCCATCCACCTGCCTCTAGTATATTATCCCTACAAAATTTTTATTCAAAATCATGGACAGCCTAGGTTCCTATTTGCTCTTAATCTTAAACAGCTCACTGTCATCTGGTTGTGTTCCAGATTTTAAATGTGCTTCTGTTCAACCAGTCCTAAAAAAACCCGGCCTTGATCCCACCAACCTCGATCACTATCGCCCTATCTCTAAACTGCCCTTCATTTCCAAGGTTCTGGAAAAAATAGTTTCTAAGCAGCTCCTTGAAGTTATGAAGAACAATGACATTTTTAAAAGATTCCAATCTGGTTTCCGCCCTCACCACAGCACAGAGACCGCTCTCTTAAAAGTAACCAACGAACTGCTATTGAATGCGGACGCTGGCATGTCTTCAATCCTGGTACTGTTGAGGACTTGTCCGCTGCGTTTGACACAATAGACCATGACATCTTGCTAGACAGACTAAGTCATTGGGTGGGCATCTCTGGCACGGTACTGGACTGGTTTGCCTCGTATTTATCTAACAGGAAGTAGTGTGCCTATTAACAACTTTAAATACACCTTTGCTCCTGTTTATTTTGGTGTGCCTCAAGGAGCAATTCTCCGACCTATTTTGTTTTCCATTTATATGCTCCCCCTGGGTGACATTATCCGCCGATATGGTATTCCCTTCCACTGCTATGCGGACGATACACAGTAGTACCTCCCGGTAAAGCCAACTGACCTCAGTGTGCTGCGTTCCCTCCAGGCCTGTCTGACTGACATAAAAGCCTTTATGATAAATAAACTTTCTACAACTCAACTCTAACAAAACAGAAATCCTTGTAATTTGTCCCCAGCACACTACTAACCAGAGAATGTTAGATGGGGACTCGAGCATTGCACTTTACAAGGTTGTGCTCTGTAAGTAAAAAACAGGTCACAGTTACAGAATTTCTTACAGCTGTGGATTGAACACAGCTGGTGATACAACATTCTTTGTATCACTTGTACTCTAGCTCAAAGACTTGTGAGCATCTGTGCCACACAATATCTAGCACCCTTTATAGGAGACCTATTATGCTTTTCCACATTTTATGACTTATCTACAGTGTTACAATGTTGGATGTTCATGTTAAACATGTCCAAAGCTTCAAATAATAAGGTTAAAGTATTTAACAGAAGTCCCTGTGTGCCAAAACCTCAGATATCCTCCTGTTGTGAACACTCTGTTTTCAACTGCTTTTTCTACCAAGGGCTCCGTTCTACGACATACGGAGCTAGATGGAGCCGGTAATCCATATATGGTCATTCGCTCCGCACAGCAACGGTACAGTAACACCCGAGCTGTCTGTACCGCTCAGCGGCAACAACAGCCTCTAACATGCTTCAGGTCTTGGCCTAAGAAAATTCACTATAAAATCTTATTAAAGCTTAAATGCTTATTTCTTCAACAGTCCTTCAAAGAACCAAGAGTCTATGTGAGGCTGTGCTTGAGCAATGCTCACATCCCCAAGCTAACATGCTTACAATGATAATGCTAGCATGTCGATTTGCAGGTATAATGTTTACAATGTTCACCGTGGTGGTTTAGCATGTTAGCATGCAAACATTTGCTACCTAGAACTAAACACAAAGTACAGGGGAGGATGATGGGAATGTCATGAGTTTTGCAGTTATTTGGTCATAAACCAAACTAGTCTATTGAACAATAACATTTTGACCAGATGATGGTGCTGGCTGGCTGAAAAGTCACAATCAGATTACCAAAGTTAAAACAATACTGAGGGGACAACAAACGTGCATATGAAATTTCACAGCAATCCATCCTATAGTCGTTGAGATTTTTCAATAAAGACCGAACAAGTCCACATCAAGGTGGTGCTAGTGGAAAAGGTCAGATCACCAAAGTTGTTTATCCTCTAGGGACCTTGAATGTGTGAACTCACCCAGGTGCCTGCTGAAGGAGTAGTCTTAAGCAAGTGAGGTCCCCATTGGCTGCAGCGTAGTGAGCAGGTACAGCTCCACAGTTTGTCTCCACCTCTGCCACTCCTCCAGCAGATAGCAGCCACTTAATGACCTCCACACAACCGAACCGGGCGGCAAGGTGGAGCACAGTGGCACCAGCATTATCCCTATCCTGGAAACATTTACAAAGATCAGAGTTTATATGTAAATCACACTCCTCTACTGTAGGATCTTACTGTAGGTAAACACTCTCAGTTATCAAGACACATAGATGGGCTTCATTACTCAAATTTACAAAGGATACATCTTAAAGGTAAATCTCTTTTCCTAAGCTACAGTAGGGATTCTCATGAGGACCACTAATTAAGATGAAGCAATCAATGTGTTCTTTAATTTCAGACAGGATTCTGCAAATACCATCATAATGGACAGCAGAGATGTAATCAGACTTGACTCTATAATGCTAAGTTCCCCTCAAGCATCTGGACATAATTACACTTGCTTGCTACATAACATAACACTAATGGATACCCAATAGGTCTACACCATATGATGTAACCAGCTGGTAATACATCTGAAAAAGTAGTGTGCACTACTTTTTACAACTGCAGTGATGTAACCTCACTCTGGGATCAGTTAGATGACCATCTATAGTGATCGCCTGAATTTGGACACACACGCAACTGAGTTGGTAGAAATTACCAGGAAAGCTGGACATCTGGCATCTCTCCAAAAGCATTTGAGCTCTCAGGGTAGGTTTCTCTCTCTCTGTGTGTGGAGGGATTGTTCTCAGTGGATAAACTTACCTCAATGTTGCAGCCTCCATGGTCTACCAGCCATTGCAGCTCCCGGATGCGACCAGTAGCTGCTGCATCATGTGCTGGTGTGGCCCTGTTCAAGGCCCGGGCATCAGCTGCCAGCCCCAGCTCGCTCACCAGGAACTGCAGGCACTCCACGCGTCCACACCTGGCGGCGTGGTGCACTGGGCCTGCACCCTGAGCATCAGTGATGGCAGGTGAGAGGTGACCGGAAGATGCTAGCTCCCTCAGGGCTGCAAGATCCCCTGCTCGAGCCGCCTGAACGGCCCGATGAAGCACCATCCCTGGCTGCTATGAGTAGGTTATGGCACACAGAACAAGCTCCCAGGAGCTCTTTGGATCCCAGCAGGTTACCATCTCCTTTCTCTCTCATGCTCATCTTTCGTGCAATAACAAAAAAACTCATGCACTCATTGCCTCCTCCCGAGCCAGGAAAGTGACACCTGAGTGGCAGCCAGCTGGCCAGCATGGCTGTTGGGGAGAGAGGAGGGGGTCAGAGCCAGCGAGATAGAAAGGTAATGAAAGACGGGTGGAGGCGAAGCGCTTGTGGCCTCCTGCTCTCCTTTGTGAGGCAGTGACCATATGCTGGCACACGCACCAACGCTTCACTGGAGATGGGGGAGCTGAGGCAGCACGGAAACTTAAGTAATGGGAGAAGTCAGAGCCAAGGCATGGTGGATTACACGGAGTGTTATTTTTTACAACTATTTTAAAAAATAGAATATAAATATATATTTTATATATAATTATCTTAGCGGGGATGACTACAAAGCTGACACATTTGCAAGATTATAATCTACATAGAATATTTTATGGTTGATTGATGAAAGAATATTAATGGTGCATGTAAATATTTTATTTCAGAAACACTCATACACAGCGCTCTGACTCTAATTAGCTGATTAGCTACTCACATGATGTGATGGAAGCTGAGTACAGTCATCTCTCCGTAACACCACCCCTCAGGTCACTTCAAGTTCTTCCCTTTTATTATTTATATTAAATATTTCATCCATTTCACACGATCAGTTGATGTAACAATAAACACAGATGATGTATTTTTAATTCTGTGCATCCCTTTTTGACCTACAGGAGTTTATGCTGTTTATGCACTTGAAGGCCATCAGTCCATTTCTTCCAGCAGTTGCACAGTTTCCCTCAAGTCCTCCACAACTGCATCCACATCTGCTTTGGTCGTTCTCCTGCCCACGCTCAACCTCAGGGCATTAGCCGCCACCTCTGAGGGGACGCCACAGCTCAGAAGGATATGGGAAGGCCTGATGAACAGACACAGAGCAGTGCAGGGGGAGTTATGTAACTGCGATCAATATAACAGCATAACAGAGGAAAGAGGCACTCTTTTACCTGTCTCCACTGTTTGAGTGGCAGGCGGCACCGACACTGGCCAACAGCCTCGTACAGTGGGACAATACCCTCCAGCCTACAGAGAGAGAGAGAGAGAGAGAGAGATATTAATCATTTAAAGCCTTAGTAGTTTACAAATGGCACTGTGCAGTCCAGGTCATGAACTGCCTCTGACAAACATTGGTGTAGGGTTAGAGGACACTTTGTTGGACTGGTAGGCCTAAACAAACATAGGACAGACAGAAGAGTCATGACAACACCTTGTAATGTTGGGCCCAGGATGGACACGTTACATGTGTTAGGGAGGATATCAGAGCCGGGGTAATGGCTGTTGAAGTGGATCCTGTCTTTAAAGACGGCCTGAAAAAGAAGAACATAGTGATGATGTTACACTTGTAATGTATAAAAGGTGAGCAACAGAATAAGGCTAATGTTGGTAATCATTCTTAAAGTCAACGGACAAAAATACCCGCGAATTACAATCATACTTCAGTATTTCAAATAACCTCAATCACACTACACAGACTGGTAATATTACAATTTACGACTATCACGGTCACACTGATAATGTGACATTACAAACGTACCTTCAGTTGTTCCTCCAAGTAAAGTTTGGTACTTCTCATGTGACTCTCATAATCTGACAGATTAGACGACACCAGTTCTGCAGCCTAACAGACACATAATAAGTTAGTAGCTATAAATGAAGCATAATATGACATGTTGTCTAAAGAAAGTATAGTATTTAGTATTTTACCTCTTTTAGTTATACTGCTAAGTACTTCATGAGGTTATAATAATGCTTTAATGATAAGGTAGGAAAATGGCAGAGAAAAAGTGCTTTTAATGAATTCCAATAAGAAAAACAACAACAAAAATCTCAACAACAAAGTAATTGGAAAAAAAAGTTGGCCTTATTTGAACATTTGCAACTCCTTACTTTGCCATGTCTCAGAAATACTAAAAGTGAAACAACAAAAAATTGAGTCTATAGTCTCAGTCTATAGCAGGACTTGATACAAATGATCATGATAAGCTGCCCACCATTTCATTGGTAACACATACTGTAAAGATTCTGTGATCCATAATATAATGCAAGACATTCATGGTGATAATGAATGACCAAACGGCCGTTTCATATATACAAGCATCCATTTATAGGCTTTAATGCAACTGGAATTGCACAATCATTTTTTAAATACAGGGATTGATCATATATTGTTTTTATTCAGTGTATTACCAAACATTCCTCTGTGTCAGTTCAACAACTCGACAAGCCTACAAATAACCAGCGATTTTAATGGTCAAACACATTTTAAATGGAAAAAACTTGGGGGGGAAAAAATAGAAAAGAGCCACATGGAAAATACATTATCAGATGACATTTCGTGTCAAAGTGTGAAAGGCACACTTGAGAGGGGTGAAATACAACTCTTGAACAGCTATATAATAAGGCAACCTTCATAAAGGGTTTATAAGTTTTAACTAGTGGCTTTATTATTATTGTTAAACAAATAATTTACAAAAACATCATAGACCAGACGAAAACCATTACAAGAGCTGCAGAAGAGCAGCTTGATTTAGCATTATTAATAGATTCCCAACATTTATAACTGCATTATTACTAAATAGAAAGGGTTTTTCACAACCAAGCCCAAATCTGTTCTTACTGATGGCATCTAATTATCTGAAAGTATCAGTAGATGACTCATTAACCGTAAATGACACTTTTACTGAAGACCTATCAAACCTTTACATAGGGTGTCTTATTAGCAAGTGTTCCCATTCTATGTAGAGACAATAGGAAGTAATTTTAGAAATTAATTCCCAATGTTAAAATCAAGTGTTTGTCTTGTGCAAACTTGACAGTAATCTTCTAATAAGGTGTAAGGTACAACTGCTTTGGTAATACAAAAATCCTGTTAAATATTTGTGACCAACTACTTTGACATTCAATTTCCCACTCAAATATGCAGAGGAAGGAAAAACCCCATTCATAGTCAAACAACCTTCTAAAGTACTGCTAGTAAAAATTCCACTAACACATACATACGGAGCAGGAAACATACCTTTCCCAGACCGGCAATCATTGGAGTGTTTTCTGTGCTGTATTTTTCAGAAAGAGAGAAAGCAGACCCTAATATTTAGATGTGCAGTTCTCAAGTCTCTGGTCCATTTTTTTTGCATATTTGGTGCTTTGTTGATTATACCTCAAGTAAAACAATGTTACCCCGGTCTGAAGTTTCTTTCCTGTCCTCCACCAAAGAGCATCGGATACAATGGCGTTCTCGTTCCAGGGCCTTTCACGTACAAAGCACCAATCCGAGGGGCATAGAACTAGAAATGTAACAAAACCTGTCAATGAAATGTTTTCCTATTTCCTTTCTGATGCCAAATCAAGATATTTTATACAACCGATACCCGACCTTGTGTCCCACTATGGTAAGGTAATCCACTCCCAGTTCACAGGCATCTACTCGGACTTTCCCCAGAGCCTGAGCAGCATCAGTGTGGAGTAGGATCCTGAGCCGCTCATGCTGCTTGTTGAGCAATTTTATCCTCTGGCAGATCTCTTGGACTGGCTGACAAGAGGGAGATGTTTCAGCATACACAGCACATTAGACTGTACTGTACACTGTAGAGTCACTGGGATTTTTAAGACTGAAACCAATATTGATGTTTGAGATTTTTTAAATCCGATATATCAGCTGATATTCTTTTTTCCTCTCTTTACAGAAACACAAAATAACATGAAATAAAACAGTTTAAATATTACTTTGAACAAAAGTACAGCTGATTATGTCAGGTGATTGCTGTGTTTTGTGGTGGATTTGTGGCTTCTCTGGTGAACAAACTATGCAACAGCATAGCATGAATAAAGGATCCGTCTTCTGTCTCTCAGTTTCTTTTTTAATTGTCATTTGTCAGCTGTTATAAACACAGATACCGATTTATCTTTCATTAGCTCATACTGGCCGATAATATTGGCACACCAATGTATCGGTCAGGCTTTAGTACACTGAGCTACATGCAAAGTGAAAACTTTTCTGTTTTTACATTGGAATTTCACTGAAGAATTTATATTTGATTTATAATACAGAGAAGAGATTCATCGGTTAATGTAACCGTCTACTCCATCAGCACCAATTCCTCCTTCGGAAATTGACAGATTATAAAAACAGAATTTCTAAACTAAAGTCTCTATCTCCTCCTTACCATGATGACTCCTGTCTCATTGTTGGCCAGCATAACAGAGATGAGACACGTGTTGGGACGCACCGCAGCAATGACATCCTCCACCTCCACACGTGCTGTCCCTTTAGACACAGGGACGTACGTCACATCTGTGACAAAAACACAGTTAATGTCAGGAAGCTACTTTAAGCTAGCTGTTGAAAAAAAGCAAAGATTCTCCTTGTTTTAATCTGAATAAAACTTTACAGAATGGTCTCCTACCGGCCTTGCCATCTCTCTGTAGGCGCTCAGCTGCCAGTTTGACCGAGTCATGTTCCACGTTAGACGTGATTATGTGAGGAAGGCCATTGCTTCCATTCTGGTGCCCTTCACCTTGCTCTGAAGCCCTGCAGTTTCTCCTGAAGTGCTCTACAGCAGTATGGATCACCAGGTTATTGGCCTGAAAGAAGATTTGTGTGCTATGAACCGCTGTCACATGTGTGGTACTACTATTCTGCACAAAAAAAACAAACTCACACAGAACATGACATGACTTTTCAAAACCAGAGCAAATTAGTGCACTAACAGTATTGATTACCTCAGTTCCACCTGACGTGAAAATGATGTCTTCTGCTTTACCTCCAACCATTCTCGCCACATTCTCTCTGGACTCATTAATAATTGCCTTGGCTTTAGCGCCTAGAAAGACAAATTAGGTAAAAGCAGCATTAGCTCAGCGATAGTAAAGAAAATGTTTTTACACACACAACTTTGCATTTCTGATTCCAAATTACAACATCAATTCAAATGCATTAAGATGCAGGCTGAAGTTTTCTTCACCTGCTATATAATTGCTACTCGGGTTTCCCCAGGCATCCTGGAGGGCTTCCGAAATGGCCTGAATCACTTCTGGTTCCAGCGGAGTAGTGGCATTGTAGTCCATGTAGATCCTATATTACATTTTAGTACATTGGAGAAACATTCTTGTCTCATTCATGAAGTCAATCTGATTTTGCACTCACTTTGGTTAAAAGTTTATTTGAGTCAATGAGAGTGAATGACAGGCTGATATGACGTGACCAACCCAAATCAAACTTCCCTACCTGTCCAGACTCATTTCTGAATAAAGATGAAAGGTATGGCCAGTGAAGGTGTGACCCTTTACCGAGGTGATGTCATCAGATTGTTCGGCCATACCTAGAAAGAAATAATACATTTAATAAGATATGTGTCATATCAGGCAGAACTGCCAGAAAAGCTAAATTCATTACATAACCCTTTGAAGAAAAGCTTTTATTTGTGCATTTATTTGGACAGCAGCACGATGACAGCTTACATTACAATGTGTTTTGAAAGCTGGTAGGACACTTAGACACGAACAGTGAATGACTGCAGAACCAACAGTAGATATAAGTGAATCTTTATGGAGCCACTGTGTGCTCAAATTCTGCTCATGGTTATCACCATGTAGTGTGTGATTAAATGCCTTTTGGGTAAGAGGCTACAGAGGTTTATTACATACTTTAAGCCAACGTTTATGGTTAAAAATGCTTAAATTCGTCCAGAGTAACTAACTCACATCCGTGCTGACAGCAGCAGACTCACTATTTACACAGCTATCTGGTAGCTTCCTGGTACCGACTACGCTTACGGATAATTCAAAACGCAGGGAAACGTATAACTCGAACACTAAAACAACCATTCTCATCCCTGGCAATGTCTGCCAGAGAGAAGTGATATTTAGCCAGCTAACGCTCATTTACTGTTGGTTAACATCTGTTAACTTTAGCTAAAGCTAGCTAGTGCTGCTAACTGATTTTTGCTAGCAGGTTTACATTTTTTAACAGTTCTTCTTTTCTGCTTTCAAGCTCTCACGAGTCATATAACGTTATGTTCTCCTCTGTATGACATGGCAGGCTGAAGTTATCGGCTCTGTGTCTGACCTTGTGAAGTGATATGAAGGTGTCCTGTATGCATTTACTACTCTGCGTGTCAATCATCAGCTAGCTAGTCTGTTTGTGCGAGTGGATGACTCCGCTGGGTTGCCAGATGTCTTTAAAGGAAACCTGCGGTAAAAAATTAAAGATGTCAGAGAACGCACAAAATATATAAAAGTTAAACGTTTTTGTATACAATGTATGGTTTATTATATGAGTCCTATTCATAAAACGTTAGAATATAAATAAAATTAAACGCCATTCAGTCTCTTTAAAAAAAAAAATGTAATTAACTTTTAATTTAAGGATAAACTGTTTACTTATTGAAATTCTTGGTTTGAAAGTCTGCGATATTTGTCCTGAACGATCATGTAAAATAGAGTCTAGTTGATTAGGATTTAGAAGATTTAAGATAAACAGGAACGTAAACTGTCCCAAAACGCTGGCACGAGGACATAGCAACTCCGGATTCAGCTGCCATGGTAACATCCAAGAAGCTACGTTACAAAGTAACTTTGAGGGTTTTTGACGTGACTTTCCAGGATACAACTAGAAAGTCTACTAAATCTACTCAGTCATTCAGAAAACCAGTTTTTTATTCTGTACTGGGAGAAACAGTTTATACTTTCGATTATTTAGTTAGCTTTGTGCAGCTGAGGGTGGACAGACCACCTCAATAATCTCTACATAACTGTATATTGACCTTTTCAGATGTAGCCCTATGTAGGTTGGGTCAAAGGTCAGGTGTATCCCAATCTTAAAGGGGATAGTAGCATATTATTCAAGTAATCATAAGCACAAGGAAAGTGGCCCATCCTTAAATTGTTTAAATAGAAGAAGTAGAAGAAGATATACAACAAGGATTTATTATTCAAACATTTAAGAAACAAAAAGAAAAGTGCGGAAATTGCACAATATTACTACTTAAATACGTGTGGACAATGAACACAGGTGCATTTTATTGACGGCATTTTGAATGCACAAAGATACCGTGACGAGATCCTGAGGCCCATTGTTGTGCCATTCATCCACGACCATCACCTCATGTTGTAGCATGATAATGCACGGCCCCATGTTGCAAGGATCTGTACACAATTCTGGAACAGTGAAACTGCACATTTTCTAGTGGCCTTTTATTGTGGCCAGCCTAAGGCACACCTGTGCAATACCCATGCTGTCTGATCAGCATCTTGATATGCCACACCTGTGAGGTGGATGGATTATCTCGGCAAAGGAGAAGTGCTCACTAACACAGATTTAGACAGATTTGTGAACAATATTTGAGAGAAATAGGCCTTTTGTGTACATAGAGAAAGTCTTAGATCTTTGAGTTCAACTCATGATGAATGGGGGCAAAAACAAAAGTGTTGCATGTACAGTTCTGTTCAGTGTATTCAATAATAAATGTATTTTTAAATAAATGCATGCAGAAATAAAAAATAAAGCTGTTAAATATCAAAATATATCGCATTTTAAAATAAATAAAATTCAGGTAGAGAATGAGATTAAATTGAGAGGATTAATTTGATCGCACTGTGTATGTAGTTGTAGAGTAGAGAATCAGCTTGTTTGTCTATTTACTGATGCTAATGTAGCATTGTGATCCTCACTGACATGGCAACTCTGGATTATGCTGCCAACCAGGATGCTACACAGTGCAATTCAGGTACATAGCTTTGAGTGTTTTTAAAATTGTGACAAATACATGACATTTCAGTCAGTTTTTATCTAAAAGTCTGCTAAATCAAAAGTTATGCTTTGTACCAACTGATACTTATTGAAAATATTGGGTCAGGCCCAAATTTATGTGTATTTATTTGTGTTGTTAATGACATGCTTTTCACCACCATTTGCAAAACTGAATTTCATTGATCCTAAAGAGAAGAGGAGTCCATTACTTTGTGTTGCATAATTTCCATGTTTATTTAATATATGACAATGTGTTTAGTGTACACAAACATCTGACGCTAAACTCCAACACTCAGAGACACTGACTGAACTACTGCCCATTTAAGATTTTGGAAATGGGTGCAACTTTATAATACACTGTTCACAGCAATCATGTTTATATACAATGCAAAATAATTTGAAAATGAAAAAAAAAGAAGAAACGTACCGGTGCAATTTGATAGTGCAAAAAAAAAAAAAAGATTAGATGTGGAAGCACAAAAATGTAAATGATATTCCTTCAAAGGGGAGGGTACAGATTAGAAAAAGTAGATCTTGTGAAGGCTGTCAGAGCATGATGGTGAAGGTAGATATTGAAATAAGAATGTAAGTGTGACAGTAAGGTAACCTACAGCATTACTCTGTACAAGATGCAATGCCTAACAGGGCCATAACAGACCAACCTTCCCCCACACGTCAGAGGACAGATTATTACAGGTATATCCCACAACCTCCGTTTGGTTCCCTCCCTGATAGTACAATCAGTAAGGAACCAGACTGTGAAACAAGAGGATAAGTCAACACAATCGCTCCAGCAGAATAAGCATTTTCAAATATCAGTGTACATTCAGTGTGAATTTCTTTGTGATTCCACCAACTTTGGTTGGCTCAAATGTGACACACATTAAAAGGCCCAACGAAAACGAGAGGAATAATCTCAACATAGAGATCAGACTGGTGCAATCCCAGGCTCTATTTTAAGATTGTGTTTTAAAAGAAATGAGACAGAAATGCTTGTGGAAGTGCTTGAGACAGTGTAATGTACAGTACCGCAGGGTATTCCCTCAATGACAATGCTGTAGCTGGAAAAACTACAACTGCAGTCTCTGCCAAAAAAGTCTGTGACAGGTTTTGATCATAACACTGATCATCCAACTTGTTACACAACAAACAAAAAACATGAACAGATTGATGATTAAACACAACTACTGTCAGTTGTACACACATGTAGGGCTGTAAAATGTTTGGATTGGATCACCTCAAAATATGTCCACAACACACAGAATACTTTCCAATCTCAGGAAATATTATATTTAGAGTAGAGTAAGGTATTGTATGGATTATCTAAACAGCAAAAACATACCGAATCTCTGTCATAATTGATCCCCTGCTGAAATGTACAATGACATTAGATTAAAGAAAACAAAGCTTTGCCTTGTGTAGCAGCTTAATGCTTTGAAATGTTGTCCTGGTAGGAAATGTCACTACTGCCATTGAGTATGCACTCCAGGCTGGCTGACCTGAAGCATGCTCATCAATCAAATTTCACACGACATCTCATAAGCTGGATCTGTCGCTAGTCTTTGAACAGGTTCAGTTTCAAATTCATAGTAAATTTGAATGAAATGCAACAGAAAAAAAAGAACAGTACAGACTTTTAGCTTGCACTTTGACACTGTCAACAGCATTGATATTTTCCATTCAAAGCCTGATTGTTTAACACATATAGCCAATTGATACTGTGACAATCCTGAAATATGTTAAAATAGGTTTTCAAAGACATAAACATGAAGTACACTCTGTGTTATGGAAATACTATACGACAGGTGATTGCCACATTAAATATGTAACATTAACATAAATTATAATGAATATGTAAGTGATGATGCAGATGATGAAAGTGGTGTAATGTGATCTGCAGACACTTCCAGAATAGATTTATAGCAGCATGAAGGATGAAGTTTCAAAGCAACTGGTGCAGAGGCATACTGTACAGTATGATTGAAAAGAGGCACTACATTTAATCAATATAAATATCATTCAGAAAACCAGTTTCTTATTCTGTACTGTGAGGAACAGTTTATACTTTTGATCATTTAATAAGGTAGCTTTGTGCAGCTGAGGATGGACAGACCACCTTAATATTCTCTATTCAGATTCAGACCTTTTCAGATGTATGTTCATTGGATCAAAGGTCAGGTGTGTCTATACTAATTTTAAAGAGGATAGTATTATTCAAGTAATCTTCAGCACAAAGAAAGTGGCCAATCATGAAGTTATTAAATTGTTTAAATACCATTAACTTCAAGGGGACAAGGTTGTATTATTCAAACATTTAAGGAACTCATATTAAAAAGTGCAGTGTGCAGAAATTGCACGGTACTACTTTAGAAATATAAACGTCTTTGTAAATAAATACATGCAGAAATAAATAATAAAGCTGTTAAATATCTAAATATATCACATTTTAAAAGAAATAAAATTCAGGTAGAGAATGAGATTAAATTGAGAGGATTAATTTGATAATATTTGATTACGTATTGTGTGGATGAAGATACGCTCGGTGCTCCTACAAGTAGCTAAAACGACATGGACTGATCAAAATGCCACAAGAACATGAAGTCTATGATGATATGCCATTCCCTTGTCAGGCTGTGTGCTAAAGTTTCTAAGAAGTTTTAGGAATAGGAAGCAGATTATTCAATGTCAGGATTTATAGACCAGAAAGAAGAGAGAATTACTCCACAGAGTTACACTCAACTGTCATTTTTTTTTTTTTTGCGTGTATTTTCTAGCTGTACGTTGTATGCAGACCAGTTTAGACACTGTATATAGCTGTAGAGTAGAGAAGAATCTGCATGTTTGTCTATTTACTGATGCAAATGTAGCAATGTGATCCTCACTGACATGGCAGCTTCAGGTAAAAATTAATGTCACTGCATTTTTTTAAGGAATAAATGTATAAGGCTTGATGTGTCACTGACAACAACTACAGTACATTACCATACGTATGTAATCTGAGATAAGAAATTGTTGCTACTCCATTTTCTTCATTCGTCCTGCTATGAATAAACTCCAGTACAGTACAGTGACAGCTCACACCGCTTTTGGTGCTGAGGACACTAGTGACAAACTGTGGGAGTACAGGGGAAAGATGATTGTTGGTGGCTGTTGTGGAGGGAGGGGGGAGGGGGTCAGCACAAGGGCAGGGATAAGGACAAAGATCTATGTACATTTTAGTCTGTGCGTTTATCCTTCTTTCCCAAGATTTTATTCAGAGTCTGGTTTCACATCCTCATCTGTCCGGCTCGTCTTCTTGACAGCTTTGACCTGAGAGGCAGAAAGGTGTTTATGTTAAAAAGACATTTTCCACTTTTAAGATTTAGTATAATTTCACCGATTAACTTTTTACCTTATAGTTCCAGCAAGGAGAGGATTAAACGCATACAGCCAGTCATGCATCTCTTTGTCATTAGTGGCTTGAAGCAATATTCCACGATGTTCTGTACACACAGCAAATGTGTTCGGGGTCTGTTGAAAGAGACAAAAAAGCTTATTATACCACCAGGGGTCTCATTTATAAAACTTCCTAGAAACCTCACTAAAAGTGTACGTGCGCTCAAAAGCGAAAAATGGCGTACACCAAAAAATATTCAGACTTGTGCGTACGCACACTTGTAAGCAAGTTCCCTTTAGAAATCACAATCAAGTTGAAATGTGGCACATCTGAGGGAGTTCCATGTGCGGCACTTCAATTATTCGATAAGGCAACGGACATGTGATAATATATCAAACTATGCTCTCGTATTTGCTCAACTGACGCACTGAAAACTGCATCAATTTCAATTTAATTTGTCCTCCTGTTCACCTTTTTTATGAGAATAAATTTCAATGCATGCAAGTATTAATTAATATGGTTGCAGATTAAACTGGCTAACATATTTGAGGCGTTCTTTTGCAGAAACAGATATCTCCGTTTGTGTTTATTATCCTCGGTCATGGTTCTTTTTGTGCGCCACAAATTTTCTTACATTATGTTTTTTGATTGCGCACTTCAGGGTAAATCAATCAAAGGAGTGTCTGATTATTCAGAAAGGCTTTAAGCCTATACTACTCAGAGGTAATATTTCGATTTATTTTATACAATAGTAAGCATATTCATTTCAAACAGTGTCATCCTTCTGTCGTGTGAGAGTTTACTTACAGGATGCACATTTCCCCGTCAAGTTTGTTTTTTTATAGATCACAACCTTTGCTTGGGAAGTGGCGTACGCACGTTTCCAGCCCCGTTTTGTATGTACGCACCGTTTATAAATGAGACCCCAGGTGAGGGAGCGGAAGGAGGGAATTATCGAAAGACTTTGAGTAATCACTGACCTTCAGCATTGCCTGCTGGTCCTCACTGTACTCCACCTGGGCAGAGGAGAGGTTGAGGATAGCCCGCTCCACAGTGTCTCTCTCTGTGTTGTAGATGTAGACGTACGGCCGCCGCACAACGACATAGCGCTTCACCCATCCGTTGGTGTGTGGCTCCAAGAAATGTATGTAACCCTTCTTTGACACAATGGGGCTGCAGAAATAAGAGGTGACATTTCATGACATGTGAAACCAAGACTGATGTTCCCACAGCACAAAGTGATAGATAGTTACTGTGGCACACTTACCTGACTCTAATCTCCTGGATATCAGGGACAAATTTGCGGCTCCGGGGTTTGGTTTCAGATGCTCCATTGATGGACTTCTTGGCCTCTGCGTCCTGCTGTGTGTCAGGACTGGGGCTGACGGCACGGGAGCGGGGTGTAGGGGGTCTGCAGTACAGATACATGAGGTCTATGAGCCATAGGAACAAAGCTGCTCCTTACACCTTATTAAGTGACCAAAGCAGTTTACAGTGACTGAGTGACATTACTTACTGCTTCATTTTATCCCACTAGCAAACATGTTATTCAGAAAAAAGAAAGAAGGAAAAGGAACAGGACAGTGTGGAGGCAGTGACTGAGAGGAGGATGAGAGGGAAGTTGAAAACCATCATGGACAACCCCTCTCATCCTCTCTATGCTAAGCTGAGGCAGCTGAGGAGCTCCTTCAGCCACAGACTCATCCAGCCCCGAACCTCAAACCGCTTTGAAGGCTCATTTGTGCCATCAGCCATCAGGCTCCACAACACCACAGCACCAAACTGACAGATTTGTGCTGATTTTATGTGAGACATTTATCTGGTTGTAAATGGTTGTAAATAATAATTATTGATTGTATAGTGTAAATGGTGTGTTGTGTGCTATGTTGACCTAAATTACCCCCACGGGGATTAATAAAGTTTATATCTAATCTTATCGAACACACAGGCCAGACTGCAACACAAAACAAAGGCTACCATGGCTGCCAAGAATAACAATGGTAAATAGCAATTACTATACAAGTACGTCTTAGGACTTACCTGAGTTCTGCGTTGCCATAGCAACCCTCAACCAGCGAGGGGCATGTTGAGGAGGGTGTGATTGTGTTGAGAGCAGAGATCGAAGTGGAGTCTCTTAGCATTGTGACAGACATCTCTGAGATCTGGAACACACACAAACACGCACATGCATGCTCACTCACCATTAATTAGATTTTTTTTATGTGCAGGTTTAAATTCCAGTGCTTGAGCATTACCTTGCTTTCACTGGCGCTGACGCACACATGGCCGTATTCTCGGTTGAAGGAGTGAGTGAGCAGGCGCAGACACTGTGTGTAAAAACGATAGGCAGCTTAAAATGTCTTTTAAATTCAGACACAGAATAAGTAAAATTACATCTGTACAATCATACATATGTTAGCACTCAAGTAATGATGGCCGACCTTGACAGCGAGCTCCCTCTGCCTCTCAGTGGCGATTTCAGAGCTGGAGCTGACTTCCTGGTCGACCTCGAGGGGCTGAGGAGACTCACTGAGCTCCTCAGTGACACAGGACAGCAGGGACTCCTGGCCCATGAGCAGGGTAGACTCCAACTTCTCCCTCAGCAGGAGGTAATGTTTGGTCTTCTCCACCTGACAGAACAGGGGGAAAAAAATCACAATCATTCACAACAAATACTGCCCCTTGTTGTCCCTAACTTAGAGAAAGTTGTCTGCAAGCAACCTTAGCAGAGGAAAACAGCTTAGTGTACTGTATAGCTCCTTGTTTTATTTTTAATCTTAGTTGTATCCGTTGCTGACAAATTGCTTAGGCCGTGTCACATATCATTGCTATGATGATAATATTACGTTTTGTGTATTTGTGAACTAAAAAGTTGGTTACATTACATATTTGGTTTCAGAAGATCAGTGCCTGGTCTCACAGTTTTCTGCAATTAAATCACAACAAAACTGAAGTTCTTGTCTTGAAATACATCTGTATTTATGTTCCCAAGTTTCTAACTCAAAGTGGAGCTCAAGAAACCTTGAGATCATTTAGCCAAGAAGCTATTGCACAATTACAATTCAAAATTCTGCTGCAGACTTTCCAGCATAATGTGACCAAACAGTAATAACTTTAAATCATGTTGTTAATTTTTATTCACATTGTGTATATATATATATATATATATATATATATGTGTGTGTGTTTTGTTTTGCAATAATCCTTGCAAGTGCTATATGAATTAATTGAAATGTTCCTTGATGAAGCAGAGGCTATCATAACAGTATGGTTAGACAAATATATGGTGAAGGCTTGTAACCACTACATAACCACAAGTATGCACATTTTGTTGAAAAGCCCACCTATAAAAATACAAGGAGTCACCACATTTGTGTAAAGGACTGCATTTCATACTGTATGTACAGTAAATTATATGTGAATAGGGCTGAATCCAATACCCACTTATCATATCCATTCATTTAGATGTTTTAAGACAGTTTTCATTAAATAGATGATTTAGAAGCACATGTGTCGTGGTTCAATAAATCAGGGCCAGCAGCATCTGTCTTCAGGTGTTAATAAAAGTAGCTTATTCTATGAAAGAAAAGTAACTAATGCCCCTCACATCTTGAAGGAGGCTGAGTTTCTCCAGCTCCCACTGGTGGTCCAGAATGAGGCTGTCACTGCGGGGCCTCCACCCAGCCAGATTCTCCTCCCCACGGACGTAGGCCACTGAGGTGTCCAGCACCCGCCTGCGTCTCCTCTGCATACCTTGGGTGGGCAGGTGCAGGATTAGAAATGTTGCAGGGGTGAGCTTAATGCAAAATGGTATCTTTGTCTTGACTCTCACCTGGGCTTCCTGCATCTGCCAGGTTACATAGGCTGACCTCATATACTCCAGTTACACGGTTTCTAGAAGAAAAAAAAGCTCATTATCAACCGAGAGAACACAGGAGCCACATGATGTTTTTCATAGTTGGAAGTTTCAAACTCACCCATCTGCTGCCCTCAGGCTTCCAGTTCCAAAAAGGTTTCGGATAGAGCGGGAGGCTGATAGCTTTGTGTCTCGAGAGTAAAACACCATGCAGATATCTTTGGTTATGACTGCGGGCTGGGTGCAGTTCTCCATCTGCGATGGATAAAAGAGGAGGGATTGATCCTCTACAGTAATTCACACATCACCTCTGTAAGAGCTATTTCTGCCTCTCATGAATGCAGGCACTGTACTGTACCTCCAAGTAGGCAGAGAGGGTCATGTAGATCTTCTCCCCGTATGGAGTGACTCGGTTTAGTAGCAGGGAGTTGTGCATGGAGCTATCCCAAGCGGTCTCGAAGCGGTAGAAAGTCCTGAGGTGATCCAAGCAACAATGAGCCAAGAAAACGAATCAGCAGTGAAAGTTTAAGTCCTTGTACACGATCAACAAATTAGCAGTGAAAGCTAAACCCATGCTAAAGTCTATCAACCTAACAAAAGAGATGTTAACATAAAAATACACTGAGAAAATAAAAAAGTAAAAATCAATTTACTATTGCCTTTTTACTGTATTTAAAGATTGTAGTAGGTATTCCTCAAAATATCAGTACAGCAAAAGTGCTAATGAAATCTTTGTGCATGCAACAGGCTGACTGAGTTGATGCTCTGCTTTGTACAAAACACCACAGAAAAGCAAAGAGAGCTGTGATGACTGGAAAAGAAAAGGAAGGGAGGATGAGAGACAGCCAGACGAAATGAGGGACAGGGCAGTGAAATACCTATGGTCAAGTCCCAAGGAAATGCTGTGAGAAAGAAGAAATCAGCAAAAGAATAGAAAGTGAGAGTCAGGAAGAATGTTGTGGTTGTGCGCTTGTGTGGCTGGGATTGTGTTTGTCTTTTTTTTCACACTGTTATCTCATTAACACTTCCATGGATGGCACAGCTCACCCACGAGAGACCGTTGAGACATTCTGTGGAAGCTGCTGATGTAATCGCTCATCCTGCTCTACAACTGAAGAGGTCAAATAGCATGGCTATTCCTCAGGCAAAACAATACTGCTTTCTGTTATGCTTCTGATTTACTCCATACATTAATGTGCACGATTTTTCCCATTTCCCTCGAGGGGATGTAATCACACACTGAAACCAGTTATTCTTCTGGCCTGCATCCCAGTATGGCCTTACATTTGAAAAAGATTATCCGAGCAAGAATTGTAAAAGGAAACTGTAATGTTTCTGTAAGCCATAAAAAGAGACTGAATGGACTGTTCATGAGGTTCAGATGTTGGGCCCACTGGCCTTGGACTGAGGTGACCTTGTGGGAAAGTGAACAATGTGTCACCCAAAAGAGAGCAACAGCAGTGGACTGAGTTGACGCTGCAGTAAAAAGAACTCTGCTCTGTGTGAATAAAGGGGATTTAGCATAGAGTTGGCCTGTTTTTATAGTAATTATCAAGTGCATTAACACACACACACTCACACATCACACGTGCACACGTATTTCCCAGTAGTAGAAAACTGTTCACTTACACTACAAGGAAGCAATTTCCTCTTTGCACTACACCAACATGTGCTTCTCTGTGTTTTAGTACCTCCTAAAAATGCAGGAGCCAGGATTGAAGTCATGCTGCTGGCGTAACATGTGGGGAGCCGTTTGTTTCTGGAGTTTGGCAGAGTTTCACTGAGGTACTAGCAAGATTTAAAAATATTCACAACATGGCAGCCATTTTGGGAAAAATGCTACTGGTGAGGTAATGGTTCACTGGATTACATTTTAATAGCTGCATTTGAATATTGTGCCAGAGCGGGTACTGTAAATGATGTGATCCATATTACAGCACTTGAGTAATTGTGTTCCTGTTAATATTCTGTAGCTGTGATGGGAAGTACTATATATCCCTGGGGATTAGAGAGGTAACTAACACAATCATATCCATGGATTCAAAATATTGCTTCACTGCAAAGTTAACAAAAATATGACAATATTAAACGGAGTGGAGAGAGGAAGGCAGAAAGTGACTGTTTTGTTGTTGTTTTTTTTAGCATTTTATGAATATTCTTTGTTGTAATAAATGAGCTGTGTTGTGATAATGGATCACTACTTCCCTCTACTGGAAGGTAATACTAATACCTCTTACTCATACTTAAATATTTCAGTTGAATCACTGTATACTAAATGGAATACTAATGATGGGTGTGACTTTGCTGCTTTTAAAATTGAATCTGCAAATAAGTCTGTGAACGATCAGGAGTAGATCAAAAAGATAAGAGTAAAAAGATAATCTTTTAAAATGCTGGTAACATTTTATACTTCCCTATTTCTGTCCAAAAGACGCAAGAGTGACCAAATACTGATCAGCCTTATAAGGGTTCCTGCAGCAACTGCTGAAGTGGAAACAGAGAGTGTGATACTGGCCCCACGACACCTCCAGCAGAGACACAGTCACGGACAGCCCACGTGAAGCAAAGCGAGCCATGCAGTTCCCTGTCCATCATAATCCGCAGCCTGATAACAGCTCAAACACACACCCAGCACAGCAAGAGAACCTGGGACATGCAGAACCACATCCCTCACATCTCATGAGGGGGAGAAAACAAAGAGTAACAGACAACTTGATGACAGTAATGGCAGAGTAGGTGAGAGGATAATGAAATCAGCAGGCCGAGTAGGAATGACAGGGTGTAGAGGACGTTAGAAAGATGAAAGATGAGGCGTTTGTGTAACTTAAGAACATGTGAAGAGAGGCAAAATAATATACCTAGGCATGTCCGAATCAAGAAACTGTCTGCAAAAGCAAAAAATAACATTCTGTTAGTGGACTGGAGAGAGAAAAATGTTAGCATCCATTTATACCTTGCAAGACTGAGCAGAGACCACACTAAACTACAGACTGACCGGGTGCTGAGCCCTTAAACCAAATTCTTGGCCAATGAGGCCATAACAGCACAAACATTGAGGAAAACCCCGGGCGTGCAGCACCACGGTCAAAGAAAGGTTGGTCGAGCAGGGCCACTGCACAGTGCTGTGTTTGGTTCCTTTATATCGAAACTCATGTCTGGGTGATGGTATAGCTGGAATTGTTAGTCTTTTTGGAAAATGGTTGGGAAAGCAGGGGAATTAAGCAATAAGCCAAAAAGAGAGGGTCACAGAAATAATACGTTAAGTGGCAAAAAATACTTAACTTTTTTCATAGATTCCACTTAATAATGATAATATAATAATTTTGGCCAAAACTACAAAGATATTTGTCCATATAATACATTGTGAATATAATGTGAAGACATACTGTGTGATACATGCTACCACTTAGTTAGTTAGTAATTGTGCCACCACACAGTGGTGATGTTAATGGTAAGTGATTTTGGATGTTAAAAGACAAACCAGTGAAGAGTTATTAGTAGTTTTTATTCCAGTAATTACTGTATGTCTTATATAAACATCACATATCTACATAACATATTTGTAGTTGCCAAGTTTCATTATGGGGCCGTGAGTCTTTAAAGAAACCTACTCCCCTCTACTGGCTGGCTGCAGAACAATGTAAAACATTTTACACACTTCACAATTTTATTAACACCATAAAATCACTATAGTGAATTTCATGGTGTTCGTAAAAATATTCTGTGTAAGTATGATATTAGCAAAGATATTGGTCCTTTTGGGTTATTGTTTCCTGTAGTTGTGAGTTTGATTCATGCTGCACCTTCTCCCTGCTACAAACTAGGCTGAAATCGTACAACACACTCAGAAACACACACCATTTTAGGAATTCAAATAAGACATTAAATAGGTCTGAGCATGATACAAGAGATATTTTTTTCAATGTTATCAACAGTGTGGTTATTAAATATAAAAAATGAATCATGGAATTTAATAAAGTGATAATGAAATATTGTATGTCATCATATTGAGTCCAGATACAGATGCTTTAAGATTGTTAGTGATTTTACACCTCTTGCAGTGATACATGCTACTGAATAGAAATACATGCATTTTAATTTCCCATTGGGGTGCTATAGTATTATGAAGGTCCGTTTATTCAGCAGTGAGATACAGTAAACGAAGGGTGCTTGGTAAAAACAACAGTGGCTCCTGAAATCTATGAGCAGGTCAGTGTTGGGGTTAGTAGATCTAATAGTGGTTGAGAGATGAGACGGGTTAGAGGTCAGGTGATATACAAGGTGAGATGCAACATGTAGGTACAACAATGACCATCAAACAACAAAGCACAGACTAACACCAAGGAGGGTCGTACAGCCAGCATGGACAAGGGAATTCAAAACTGCTGATGTGGCAGATGTAGGTTTAAAATGCAACTTTTAAATAACTCAAGGGACATTTGATTCACTCTGCTCATGGTCACTACTCCTGCAATTAGATTAAGAAGAATTAGGAATTAAGAAGAAACTAGACTCATGCAGACACAATCATAAAGACAACAACACAAAAGAACTTGCTGAGGTTTGTTATAACATTCAGGTTGTGCCTTTTGTGCCATGCTTTATTTGGACAGCTGGTTCACTATGCCATGCATTTGCCCATGTGCCATGTTCCAGAGCAGGAGCTGCCACACCCATAATGAAGTGAGGTCCTCAGATAATACTGTTGTCAACATAAAAATCAGAACCAGTGGTTTCCAAATTCAGTAAAGCTACCACAGCCTTAAATAAACAAACATTTATGTGGTAGACATTTCTAATATTGTATTCCCATCAACCACATAGATTCAAAATCTAATGAAACCTTTGACCTAATCAACGAGTTGTGCAGCTTGGAGGGAATGGAAAGATCTAGCTGTTGCAAAATTATGTGTTTCCATCAAATGTCTACCAGTACGTACCGGTCATCTTGCATGGGCCTGACATAACCAGCAGACAAGATGTTGAGAGAGAGAATATTGGGGTCTACGATGGTCTCATCAGCTTCAGGGGTGCTGCGGAGACGTCCTAGGAAGGTACAAGTGCCTCAGTTTGAAAAGCTCATCCACAAGGCAATATCACTGTTGGTGCAATGTTTGGTTTTCAGGGTAAGAAAGGCTGAAATCCAAACTTACCCACGACAAGCTCACGTATATCCTTCCATTCCATTTCACCTCCTGACTCATGTACAATGGTAACAGTGATTCTCCTCTGGAGGCCCTTTGGTTGTGAAGAAAGAGAAAAAGAGGTGTGGTTATGTTCAGTACATTTAAAATATTCCACATATAAAATTTGCTCACATTGTGATTGACATACCTGGTGCAGTAAGAATGTGCCGTGGCAAGGCATTCCTCCTCTGTGGTCCACCACTGCAGGGATGTAGCTGGGAAGACACAGATGAAAACGGGCTTCACTGATTTGTTCACATGCCAGTGATGAACAGTGCTGGAGACATTTATGTGGTCCAAAGTTTTTCAGGATCATTATACTTATTCCATAATAATATCATTTCATGAAAAACATTCTAGCAGAGTGAAAATCCAGGACTGGATGTTTGGCGAGGGGTGACACGGGATACTCACTCTCCATTGGCCTCCAGCTCGCAGATTTCAAAGAATACCATGAGATCATATTTGCAGTGGCAGGGTCCTGCCTGCGGGCGGGTCATAGCAGTCAGTTTGGTGGCAGGTACTGTGTTGAAAAACGAGACAGATAGTGTAAGACAGGTTGAGGGTAGACAGAGAGCAGACTAGACTAGACTAGAGCTGCTCTAAACCTACAAAGGAAAGAAAAAGGGAAGAAGAAAGGAAATCAGTGATGCAGGGAAAGAGAGGAACCACTGAGTCCTCAAGAAGGAGCGCCTTATTTTCAGCCTATTTATAAGCAGTCCTCTCTTAAAGGAGAATACCACTAAATTTCCATAGAAATATCTTTGTTTCCTTATGCTATGAGATATTTCCCATATGTATTTATAAACCTATACTTGCTTTGGCTCTGTGTGATCTCACTTTGCAAAACAGCCGTGGTAGTAACTTATCCAGATTGAACCATCCTGTGCATGAGGAACAGCATGTGCACGAACAGTATTCTCCTTTAACAGTACCGATGTTGTTGATCATCATTGTTTTGTAGAAATCACTAAATCTTGTCTGACTGTGAGTTAACTACATTCCCCCAATTTAGTATAGTTCCCCAAAAGGAGTTAAGACAAAGTGTGCATGAAAAAAACATTGACATCGAGCCTTGGAGTTTGGCCCAAGCTCAAGCAAAATCACGATATATTTACTTCTGTATATACACAGTATGGCATATACAGAAGTAATATATATAAAGTATTATATATATTATCTTTCAAATAATTTCCCTCATTCTGATTTATTGTATTTATTATTTCAAAGAGAAGATTTTCTACCTCTTTGGATTGTTTCTTATACTGCTTAACATGTGAATTTCCCATCGGGGCTAAATAAAGTCTTATCTGGCGTAATATATAATGTACCAACATTCCCATCCCATTCAAGAAGAGCTCAAAGAAGGAACTGCAAGGAGAATCCACCACTCAGGTCAACAGTGAACACACAGTACACCAGAGACCCAATCCAACTGAATCCTGACACAGGAAAACCCCCTTTTTATATCAAACAGTTTCATTTTTTAAACTATTACAGCTTCTGCTAGTCAGTGACCAGTAGTGACTGTAATATAAACTATAGCAGAGAGACTTGCTAATTAATTGTTCTTTTTTGTGACACTTTATCTCCCCGTCAACAGGAAGGTCATGTCACAGGGTCAGTTACAGAACATCGACCCAGTAGCTGGACGGACTTCAGTGTTACATTTGAGCAATTATTCAGCAAAATTGATGCTTGTTGGAGGAGCAGCTTCAATGTCTACATAAAAGTAACATCTTGAGTTCTTTGAATATAGTTATTATTGTATTAATTATAATATGGCATAACAGTCAAATGGCTTTGGAGTATTTTTTAAATCACACCAAAATACACTTGATATAAAAAGTCTTTCCGTCACAGGATTCTCTTGGATCTGACATCATTAACCAACCCGGCTTCTGAGCTTTAATAACTGAACAGATAGAGGTGGGTGGAGCTGTCAGCTGAGCCTGCTCGTTTCCTTCCAGTAGGAAGGAAGCAGCCAAGCCAGCAGCCGACAGAGCGTGGCCTGACAACGAGTCCACCAGCGCCCCATTGAACACATCTGGGACCAGGTATCGGATCAGCTCCAGCGATTTCTCCCGGTCCGGCGAGGCCTCAGAGTCAACTGCTCATACCCAACAACATGAAGCTACGATGACACGACTTGCAGGGTGACCAGTACAAAGACAATGTAACATACATAAATAAATGTTGGAATACAAGCAAAGAAACAAGGAGTTTATTTACCTGGTTTGGACAGAGGCATCACTCGTGGGAACTGTCTTCTGCAGGGACGTAGTGGACTGATTGTGGAAATAACAGACAATCATATATCATTTTTTGAAAACACAATATAAATTATATCTTTGTCTGTGCAGTAAATCAGGTCTATCAGCAGACTTCACAGCCAGGTACCTGATGACGTCTTTACAGAGTGGAAGAAAAGGCTGTTTCTGGTAGTGTCCAAACACCTCAAACACAATTGGCTGGGTTTTGATGTAGTCAACAAAGGATTTAGTAACTTCAACAGCAATCTAGAAAAAAACACAGTGATGTTAAATTACTTGACGTATTAAAACCTGCAACAACTCATCATCACACAGAATCTGGCTGATAATTCTTACATTCTGCACATGGTAGAAGCCTAGAGGGGGGCCGCGGCCTGTGTTTTTTAGGGGCTCAGTAGAGAAGGCCTCATCATGACGGTGGATGAAACTGAAATCAGTCCAAATTGCAAAACATAACTATTAACATGTGAAACATGTAAAAGGAACATGATATATACTGATAACCGTGTGTGAAAAAATGTAGAATGAACTTTTGATGTGCTTACTTGAACTGGCAGAAGATGTCAGCATATTCTGCAGAGATGCTGGAGGCTTGCAGGACAGTCACCCTGAAGGTAAAAACATTACCGATCCTCAGGTGCTCTAGAGATGCGTCAAACGGGCCGTCCACACCGGCCTTCAGCGGATTCTCCAGCTCATCTGCACCAGCTGTGGGGAACGCAAAATAAAAATCAGACACAGGTTAAAGCTCGCATTCCAGGTAGCGGGCCAAGTCGAGCTCATTTTCAGTGGCACCATAATCCGTGGATGGATGAAGTTTAGGATTTGGAGCCCTCTTGGGCTGATTTTGGTCAAGTATCACCTGCTCCTTGCTTTGGACCAGGGTCGGCCCTCAGAGCCAATTCCATCGTGAGTCTTTACACAGAAAGCATCACTCTGAGCATGAGTCTAGCAGCCAGGTGTGCCACGGTTGGGCCGGGTGGGACACTACACACATACACACACACCCAAGCACACAAAACATGTACCTTTTCGCTCATACATTACGATTACCCGCACATGTGTTGTTGTTGACCTCATCAGCTGAGGGTCCCACTTCTGCGTTCTGCCCCTCCCCCTCCACAAAACGAAGCTCCTCCTGGGAAACCCCTGTACGTGACAGTCCTACAGAGCACGACTCGGACTGGAACTGCAAAAGCAAGTTGCCAAACACACACATTAGCAGGTTGGTGCATACAGGTGACTCCTGCATATACAGCGTATGGCGATTTTCTCTACCTTTTCATATTGCTGATCCTCAAATGAGATTTTGGCAGTGCCTGACTGCCTCACACCTGAGCCGTAGTCAGGAGCTTCCTCATCAGCTGGAGGGAAACACAAAGCACCTTCACTTCACTCCCTCAAGAAGTCACACACAGTCTGTCCTTTCAAGCCCTTCGTGGGCTTTTTGTCAACAATGGTGAGGATGAGGATCCGAGCCTTACCTGATATGGCTTGCACCGCTACTCGGAGGAAGCCCTTCACTTCTCCCTTCTCGCTAACGATCGCCACGCGGTGAACGAGAGGAACCGGGTAAAGCAGGTTACTCAGATAAACAAAAGCCCTGAATAGGAGGCAAAAAGAGAAAAGATAGAAGATTAAAAACAACCGAGCTAAGGAAATGGCTCACACTTGATAAAATTTCACTGGACTGGACAACAGAACACAGAGCTGCAAAGCAACCAAACAGAAGCTGGGACTGCTCTTGCGATGGCCATGGCTGCCCTTTACTATCGCTTTGTAGCGGCTTTTCCTCACCATCTATAAATAATGACATTATCAGGGTAATTATGGGTCACATGCAGTATTCCTTAACATCTGTATTGTACTGGTGAAAGCTTGGTGAGGCTAAGGAGCATGTGTGTAAGGGTCAACTTTGAATTCTTTAAATTATTTCAAAGTAGTGGAAACCAGCTCACTACTACGCTGGACAAGAGATGTTTTTCTCATGAGCAATGATTTCCATCCCTGAAATAAAGTTTTCTTGCATTGCCTAATGACTATATGCTACTGCATTAACATTGTGAACATGCCTCAAAATGATAACACTACACTACATTTAAAAATTGCAGATCAAAATGAGCAGTTGAGGCACTTTTTTCAATTATTTGAAACTACTTCAGGGGTAGTGAAAAGACTAACATTTGGGGGTATAAATAAACAACTGCACTAGAAATGTTCCTCTTACTTGGTTTCTCAATCTCTACTTTTTAGCTACAGTATTTGATCTTGCAGTCAAGGACCACGTTTTCCACAAGCCAATAGGGGTAGACATTTAAGGGTGGAGAGTGTAAAAAGGGAGAGGCGTATGACAAGATTGGTGAGGTGCAAAGAAGGCATGCTCAGGACGAAAAGGGTGAACAAAAATGCTTTCAACTTCTCGACTCAAAGGAATCAAAAGCAAATGGAACAGAAATCATCATACGGAACATGGCTCAGCTTGAATAAAAACTGCCAACAGCTTGATATGTGGTATGCTACACCAAAAACCAAAGAATAACATCAGAAATCAAAGTGCACCTCCTGGGTTGAAGTGCTAATTTGTGCAAGTTCTACTAGTTCAACCTCAGACGTATTCAAGTAAAAATTGACAAAAAAGGTCAAAATGAAAAGACTTGTGCTCTGGCATGCCTAAAAGAGACAGCTGCATTAGAAACCAGCTCTTTCATCTTGAGATTTTGAGTCTTCCTTGAACACCACTTTGCTATTTCATAACAATAATTTCCGGACTCTTTCATACTTATTCGGGTTTCACAGCATGGTGAGAACAGTTCGCCGTGGGTTCCTGTGTTATGCAAATCAGACCTGAATATCCTCCATGAGACATGTCAGTGCTCTGGCTAGTGCATGGTCTTCTTTAAAAGCTGCTAGTTTGCATTACACATAAGTGAGACACACAACTCAAGCAGCCGTTGAGCATCAACTTTGCTTGGATTTCCATCAAAACAAGTGGTACGAACTGACCCACCCTGGGCTGACATAAAGGACTTGTTTAAAGAGTAGAATTATAATATGCAGGAGATGAATTTAGTCTAAGTAAAACAGCAAAAAAAAAGAAAAAAGAAAATCAAGCAACAGCCAAATTTGATGAGATTAAAGATAGAAAGCAAAAGATAAGCTTTGAAGCCCAGAAATGTCTACTCCAGTGTCCCCTCAGTATCATGTTCATGAAAAAAAAATAAATCTGTGTAGTGGTTTGACATTTGAGAACATTTGTGTCTCAAACATGAGATACAGTGACAGTGACAACTGAGACAGGGAATAGAAACTTAAGTGGCAAGTTTGACTTGGTGTACTAAGCAAGCAGGAAGTGTTTAAGATGATAAAATGGACTAAATTCTCACGACCAAGTAAAGTTGGTCTTCAAATCTCCACTGAAGCATGCTCCAACTCCATGTTGATATTACAACTATACCTTATTTTTCCCAACTGGGCAGTACAATGGAAAATGTCTTATTGTGAACCAAACAGCAGGCTAATTTGGACAGAAGATGTGTGGTTGTCATATAAGAAAGCAAAAGACACTCTGACAGTAAGGTGTTGCAGAAACTTCGATTTCATGTGATTAATTAATATACTCAGTCCACAACAGAGTGAGGACTTTGTGAGAACATACCCTTGTTCTGTAACAGTATTGTGTATTGCGTTTTCCAAAATGTCATTTCATCTGATGTCTATTAAGAGAAACAGACCCTGCGTCTCATCGTGAAAGAGCTAATTTCCACCAGCATGCTCCCGAAACCTCACCAACCTTCCCACTACACTGAATAATGGTGAGCGGTCGTAAAAGGGATCCTGGCCTTCGCTGGAGCCTCGGCAGAGCTCTCCCTCATCATCATCATCATCATCATCATCATCATCATCAATATCATCATCATCCTCTCCCCCGAGCTCCAAGCACGGGTCGTCCAAAAAGATATCATCATCCAGGTCCTCCAACTCCTCCAACTCCTCCAATTCCTCCTCCCCGCGACCCTCCCGCTGCGGGTCAGCCAGCTCAGTAATTTCAGAGAGGGTCGGGGATGGGGTAGGGTCACTCATGCGCTCGCTCATGCATGTGTTGAAAATGGGGTTTCTGGTGTAGCCAGAGACATGGGAACTAGGTTAGTACAGTTAGATAGAAAGCACACACTTGTTCAAACAAGAGGAACAGTAGAGCACAACATGGACTAGACCACAGGAGAAAACCTTCCTCGCTTTAAGCCAAAATCTGCTTTTACTGTCTGTTTTAGTGGACAGTATACATGTGTGAGACAAGCTAAGAAAGTTATCTGAAGTATTTAATGCCCTTGCTGAGAGTGCACATACAATAATTAAGTGTGCCAGACTATGAAGGCGATGATTGACACTTTGAAGTAAAAGATTGCTTCCAAAGAGGCCAGTCAATTCCAGGTATCACAGGACAGGTTGGTCGCTTTATATGTATCTGTGTATGTATTTATTCAACCACCTTAGAGACAATTCTGTTGTCGGTGTGTGTTGCACTATATACTTTAATATATTTAATGCATATTGTTTTATTATGCAAGATGTAAACAGAGTTGTATTTTGATTGTGTAATTGTGGAAATAATTATTCCTACTTACACTTTATGTTATATATTCATTATACATAAATGTCATCATAATTGTATTAGAGATTTTAATATATTATTTTATTTAATATTTTGTTTGTTCTTTAAGTCAGTATTATAGATATTTACTTACAGTATAAGCCATCCAATATAACTAAGGTGCTAAAGTTCAAGCCTGATTTATAAAAGAATGTCGTCACAGAAATAGCATATAAATATAGTATACAATATTTCTCTTTGGACATTTGTGAATGACCCCTGACAGATTATTAACAGCAGTTACTGCTAGTGTTAAACCTATGGTGAAATCAGAAGCCCCGCATCACGAGTGTACTGAAAAGCGTTCATAATACTACTAGTGTCTTTTTTTGGAGAACAAATACACACTCCAAATAAAACTTCAGTTGATTGCTGACATATAATTTGTCTGGGGAACTAAATTTCATTAGATGTTAAGCTTGTTGCCACATATTCCTGTATTACTCACATATTGTATGAATAGAAAATCTAAATGAGCATAGAAACAAGATATTTCAAGGAAACATTTTTCAGATTAGTGGCTGAACATTTTTGCCTATCTTGCAGAAGCTAAATGACATAAAAGCCTTGATAAGATGAATATTATGTAACAAGACCATGTGACTGTGTGTAGGACCCATCTGCAAGAGAGACAGAGAAGGAGAGAGAGTGCTTGGCAAAGAGATTGGGAGGCTGTGTGCCAGAGTGGGAGGGAAAGAAATGGCAGGTTTTGAGTAGGAGGACTGAAGAAATGTCGATCTCAAATGTTCCACAACCGACTTTTCTCATTAAAAAAGATGGGCATCAACTAGCATGTCCCGATCATTTCCATTGGCTGTCAGATCCATCCTTAACGTTAAAGCTGTGAGCCCATGTTAGGCGGAAAATATTCCCTCTGGCTATCAAAAAAAGAAGGGACTTCATTCATTAATAAAGCACATTGAATTTAAAAGTTGAAAATCAGCAGTATAATTCAGCAGTTAAAATGTGTCAGATATGAGATAAGATATGGCACAGGCTTATTGTGAATACAAAGTCAGTGCAAATTTGTGATCACATTTGCTAAATAATTGATTATTATTTTTATTATCATTATTTATGATGCCCAGTAAGTCTTTCATACGAATACAATTCTAATGGACAGATCTGGTGATAGTGGTGCACTCAGAGCATAGACTGGACACACCAGACTTCAGTAATGAATGAATGAAGTGGGCTGCAGACGACTTCATGTTGGTGTCTCCGTCATTATGGTCCATCAGTTGACCACATGCTCAATATATAAGGGAATTACAGCCAACAGACTCTCATTATCTTGAATGGACAAGTATGACTAATACTGGGCTTCTGTTTGCTCTCTGCTTTTGACCTTTGTATGAGTTCAGAATGAATTCCTTCCTGTATATATATATATCCATATACTGTGTAGGTCCAATGGTGTTCAGTATTTACCTGCCAACCAGACGGAACCAGGGGAAGCGGTCATAAAAGGGGTCCCCTCCGGTCATCACATTTTCACAGTCTTCAGTGGTATTGTTGGGCACATCAGCAGCGCGATCGTACATCTCTCTCATGAGATCGAGCCTCTGCCTGCAAGAAACAGCAACAATTGTCACATTAAGTCATTGTGCTAAAAAGTAGCACATCATGGAGTTAATAAGAAAATTTCTTCCAGTGAATGCTGCGCTTCTTGTGAAATGTTCCCTCACAAAGACACTATAAACATTTTTTGTTCCTACTGTTTATCATAGGCTTGTTGACAGTTGTATTTGTGTGTGCAATAGTGGGATTAATAAAGTATATCTTCTTCTTCTTCTTCTTCATCTATATTGTCCTCAGACTTTTTAAACCGAAAAGACTTGGTGTTCATGTACCTTAGTTTTTCTAATGTCCAGTAGTGGGTGGCTCCATTTTTCTGATCCTGCACCTCCACGGCCACAATGGTGCGTGGGAAGTGTCGTATCTCTCTGTCCTTAGTTGCCTCTGGGGGCAACAGGTCTGGAGGCAGCGGGGAGTAAAGAGTGTCTGTGAGCAGCACAAACTGGAACTGGACCTGCATGGGCATAGAAAGCAAAGGTATGGTCAGGGAGACATACTTTAACATGAATCAGTGGATATAATGGAGTTTAAATGAAAACAGCATGTTGGACCTTCTTCTTGAGTTCCACACTGATAGCATTGGCCTCCTTAAGGAAGATGGCATTTCCCCATAACAGGTCACGGAGAGAGGTGAACTGGTAGCTCCGCCACTTACGAAAGCCCCACACAGCCAGCTCTCTTTCCCTCTCTGTCCATTGCACTGTGAGCAAAAAGAATAAAACACATTTATTTGGTGAGGATTTGCTCACCACTATGTAGACATGTATCTGTGTCAAAGAATGTTTTCTACCTTCTTCTTCTGGCTCTTCCTCTTCTTCAGTGGCTTCTGGGTAGTAACGGTCCACTTGCTTCTGAAGAGCCTCCAGCTTGCTCTCATAATCCTAGACAATTGATTGTTAACAAGCCATTTAGGAACTGATATCAGTGAGTGGCTCATTAAACAAATACTAGTGCATTTTCTGTAAAACATGGAAACATATTGTGTGACTTATTTTCATTTAAGATACTGCATTAGAGGTGATGAGCTACTTTTAACAGCAGATTTAACACAAGTTCAGATAGATCTAGCTACCTGTGGCATTAATGATTAACATTAAGAGCATACAAAGCTGCTCATCACTGTACCAGTCTTTGCTGCTCCAGAAGGTTGTTGGCCTCCTCTCTTTCTTTGCGATACTGGTCCTCCAACTCCTGCAGCCTGAGGACATAAACATAAATGAACAAAACAGGTTGGACAGAAGTGATGAAACTTAAGGTTCTGGAGCAGCATGCCATTCACTGTGCACTGTGCTGCAGATTTGTATAATGTAGTAGCCTTTAAAACTTCAATTACCAGTAGTTCCTAGCTTCCTTATCTGTTGTTCCTAACTACAATATGGTGGTGAGGACCCATCCTCTACCTTCACTGTCTTTCTTGAAAAAGTAAAGTTGAAAGGCTCACTATTTTCCCAAAGTACCTCTGTTCCATTTCCTGTTTCATGTCAATGCCCTGTTTGTCCAGCAGCTCCCTCTGGGCGAAAGCCCAGTCCACGGGCTCAGCAGGGGTTTCAGCACATGGGGTCCTCTCCCTCTCAGCCCTGGCCTGCACTGGGTGGTTGAACCGAAACACATGGCTCTTCCCCAGGATGATGCGATTTCCTTTATGAGAATAAGAAATCTAAATATGTTAATGTAAACGCATAAATAGAGAATGACATACATGTTACTACTAAGATTTAAAATGCGTAAGGAAAGTTCAAATTCACAGAGCAAGTGAGCTAACTGACCTGATTTGAGGATAGTGGGCTCAGTCACTCTCTTTCCGTTGACATAAGTCTCAGCCTCTTCACAAGGCTCTAGGACAACCGCTGCTTAGGAACAGAGAAGGCAATGAGACACTTCTGTCTGTCAATATTTAAGTCTGATGTACACAACTACAAGCCTGTGAATCAAGACAAACATCACCCACTTTCTCCCATTGGACCTGTAGAACTGGTAAAGGTGCAGTGCTCATCCTTAATGAAATGGCCACTGAGGACTATATCCTGACGACTGCTGGCGTCTACACGACCTACCCTAAAAAATAAAAAGTGATGAGATGATGTCAGAGCAAAAAGTATTTAAAAACGTACTGATTAAATACTACATGTCAAGAGAACATGAACCGGTTTATATACCAGTATATTTGATCAGAAAATGTTTTACAATATCTAACCTGGTGATCCCATCTTTAATGTAGTACAGCAGGCACTCAGACATCAAGGGATCCTCGTTGAGGTTCACCAGATGAGGTGTCTGACACAGAACAAGAAATAATTTACTAACTTAAGAAATTAGTAAAATTGTAAAAAAAATAATGAATTATCCATATGTTATTTACAATATAACATATGCATCCAGTGCACATCAGAGAGCTGAAAATAAATATCTCCCAGTAACAAACATCAAACAATCAGCAATAGTTGAAACCATGCAGTCAAATTAACTCCCTACAGTTTTACAGCATGAGTGTTTAATGTAGTCCCAGTCAGATGTTTTGGGGCTGCAGGCAAACAGCCATAAATCACCGAAATGGGGGCACTACCATTATCATTCCCCCCATGTTTACACCCATCACTACATTCAGAGAGTGTTTGAAGTGAGTAATGAAGTAGATTGAAGATAACACTTAATGAAAAAGAAAAACCCTCGACTGATCTGCCTTGGCAAGGCTGTTGTTGAAGTGACACTCAGAGCACTCAGAGAAAAAGACAGCTTTAAACACTTCACAGCTACAAACCTCATTGGGGGAAAACAGCCCAACTGTGTCGATAAACACAGGCTCGGGCTTTCTAGGGTTATTGGAGGGCTTTGGGGTAAATAAACAAGCATTTTAGTGAATAATTGATATGGTAAGTATTAGATCACAGATGATTTTTGGAGATGATATTTTCTTACCTTCTTAGGAGAGAACACACCAACTGTCCCACCATCTTCTCGCATTGCTACACCCATTTCTGCCAGCAAGGCCTCTCTGTGGATGAATGTCAGACTCAGTATACCAAGTGGCTGCATGATTTGTCCTTATGTCAAGATGCCTCAGTCATCAATGTAGTTTATATGAAATAGGTTTTTTTGCTGCACAAATTTAAAATGGTTCCTTTTTCTTTATAAGTCAGTACAGCAAAACAACCCCACTGTTTCCTATTTGTTGTTGCTGTAAGCCTGTTGTCTCTTTGTGTTTGTGTTTTCTCACAATTTATTTGTTTGTTTTTTAAGCAAAAAAATTAATCTCAAGAAGGATTTTACTAATGAAATTAAATAAAGTAAAATAATTCTCACCTTTCCATTCTAATAGCTTCTGTTCTGCGAAGTTTCTCTTCCCAAGTCTCATTGAGTTCAGCAATGATTTTCTCTGTTTCCTGACATTTGAAAAGACATATTTATTTATTTCAAGAACAAGTCTGGTGAGGTGCTCTATATTTTTATTTTTGTTAACAAATCCCATGAAAAGCCCAAAACCAACAATGAACTGATCTCATGAAAAAGTATTGTCTGTTTAGCCAAAGCTGGATATATCTTATTCTTATGTGCCATAGAGCTCCTTTTGGCCAAAAACTATTAAAACACACACTAAACCTGCTGCCATAAATATTTACTTGAGCACCAAATTCATAACTGAAAATGGTCCTCAACAAATGCACCATTTAATCCTGTTTGAATAACGTTTGTTAGAAACTGCAGTGAGCCACTGTTTTAGGAAATAGTTTAAAAAGGAAACTTTAGGGGGTTTAAGGCAGCAACCATGAATCACAACACCCCCAGAGTGAGTCCAGCCTGGGGCCTTTATTGCCTATTATTCCCCATCTCTCTCCCCTCACTTCTGTCATCCTTCTACTATTGATTTTCTAATACAGGCATAAAATGCCCCCAAAATATGTAGAGATTTATGGCATCAGTAGGAAAAAATCATCCAGTCTGGGGAAGTCAGATAGTATTGAGAAACAGACTTTTGGTTTTGGTCTAAGATAGAATATTTCCTGCCTTACATTTTACTTACTGAGAGGGTTATGAGTTAAAATACTAGTGATACTGAAGATTTATCTGCATATGATCTGACAATACGCAGATGATGGAACTGTAACTGTAGAGTTTGCTCTCCAATATTCACCTTCAGTCTCTCGATGGCCTCTTCGCTGCCTGGGCTGAACATGATGCGGTCATGCAGGCTGGCAATGGATCCTGCGCGGCTGGACAAGGCTGAGAGAGACGGAGAGGGACTCATCCCTGTCATGGCATTGGTCACTGTGGAGAGATCATCCTTTTGATTCACAGCTTGGCCTTTATTGTTATTGTTCGTGTAATCGGATAGGTCTGTCAGGGTGGGAGGGGGCACGGCATATGTACAGGAAGTGGGGTTGGGGTAATCGATATAAGGAATAAAGAAATGAAGGAATGTAAACAGATAAGGAAGAGAAGAGAAGAGAGAATAGAAAAGAAGATATGTGGGCTGAAACAACTCACAAAACGTCACAAAGAGAAATTTGAATTGCAATTATACAAGCGAGGGCAGCACCGGGGGAAAGCCACGCACAGAGAGGACCAACCAACCAAGATGCAATAGGGAGGCCATCCAGCCATAACCAAAGAAAATGCAGCTGTTACACAAAAACCTCAAGCAGAGCATCATATGCAGGAACATTCAAAAACAAGAAAACAAAGATGCCATCTAAATACTGTTCATCTGCCATTTCAAAAAATCTTGTATGAGACACGGGTTCTATTGCTCACTCCCAATCAAGCATCTTTCACCACAAAAATAAAATTAGTCATCATGTATTGAAAATAAAGCTCATAAGTTAGGCCGCCCTTTCTGCAGACATAATGACTCATTTGTAATAGGGTCTAATTTCCTGCGGAGAACATTGGAAAGCCAGAACTCTCAATTAAGATGCAATTGCATTTAAGTGTGCTTCTCTAAAATTAGTAATGTCAAACAAATTGCTGAAAGTAAAAATCCATTTCTCTGGCAGAGAAATAGAAATAGAGTGGTATGTTTGTTTGGACAGCCTTGAAACCTAAGTCCTCATTGGACCTTTCTGAATCCCAATTTTTATAATTTCTATTTATCAAAATAGTCTACCAACAACCCTGATTGTGTTCCCTGTTTTATGTTCAATGTTTTATCTTGGCACTGTTGTGGCACCACGAAGGCCTATAATAGATTCTACAAAATAAAGAACATCAACCCTGCAGCTGCTGCTATGGCAACACAGAGCTATGAATTGGGAAAGTGTATCACACCCATCCATCTGGACAGGCTGTTGTCCGCCAAGACGGATCACATAATCTCGCCTTTGCAGTGCAGTTAATGAAGTCCTGAAATATTCAAAGACAGTGAAAATTTATCGCAAAAAATGAGATGACTACCTCAGAGATCCAGTATTATGGAAGTGATTATACTCTGTGCCTCTAAAGGCGGCATCATCGTCTTATGTTTTCTGTTATGGTTGCCAACAGAAGGCGATAAAGTGAGACAGACCCTGCCAGGGGGATGGGAAGCTACAGTTTTTACATCAGGGAAATTAAAGATTGGGATGAAATATATCGCATTATTGTACACAATCTTCCATATTTATTGCTTTGCTGCTTCATGCACAGTTTAGCCCTGCCCCACCGATGCCACAGCTATAAAGCCATACACAGATCTCTACAGCACCATGACATGGCACATTTAGATTAGAGCCAAAATGACAAAGCATGAAAATCACCCCCAGACCTGGACTACATGCTGTTAATATTGCATTAACATATAGCTACATTCATTTCAATGCAGCTCTCCTAAATGAAACATTTAAAACTAAATTCTTTACAATATTGTGGTGCTGCAGAGAACACAGAAAGCTATTGTTTACTGTCACAGCAAGCACGGGTGATGCTAAGCTGCCACAAGAGCAAAAGCAAGAGCCAGAAAACACACATTTCAAACCCTCTATATCAGCACCAGATGTTCGATATGCTGGGAGAAGAGAAGATAAAGAGTGACAAAGAGAGAGAGAGAAAAAGAGACAGCGTAACACCTTTAGATAAAAATGTTCATGGATTTAAACATGCACTTCTTATTTGCAGAACACCTGAGCAGACTACTCAACACAAATTAACATCAGTTTAGCTCCACTGCTCTATTTGCATTTTCATTTCTGTGTGAAGATGCGTTCATATGTGAACACATTTTCATCTTGTTTACAAGGAGACCAGGATTCACACCTCTTTCATTCAATGAAGAACATGAAATTCGCTTATTGTTGTTGACCTGTGCTACTTGAATAAAAACAAGAAGACTAGGGCCCTATTCACACTACTCCGTTTTAGTTTACAAACAGAGAATTAAAACAAATATTTGCCCGACTTCACTAAAATGCCCTCCGGAGCTTTGAAACGCAAAACGGGGAGGCAGCGTTTCCAAACTTCTCCATTTTAGGTCTTCGTTTTCGCCGTGTTAGTCTGGATGGGAGGTGCAAATGTAGCAAAAGGTCTCCGTTTTAATTTGAAAATGCAGTGTTGTGGATGGGGCTCCATTTGACGTCCTACATTTCCCATAATGGAACTCAATGGCATCAGACTGTTATGTGCTAATGTTAGCTAGCTTGACATGCTAGCTCCAAAAGCTAATACTTGAGAGCCTGCCAACACTATTTCCAGTCCTGCCTGCTTGTTTTTTTGCACAACATGGGAGTAATCTGTACGTCTGGACCCACTGCAGTCTAAAGAGAACCAGTATCTGTTTATCTCCATTTACAGCTTCCTATTGATTTTTCTGCACTGGCTAATTTGCTTTGTGTTCTATCTGAACACACATCAACACACACAATGTTTGTGAGCACGGAGAATAAAATGTAGTGCTTGTGAGGGGAGCTGTGTGGGCTGAGGTGAGACTGAGCGTATCATTGAGAATAGTGTGCACACAGGATCTGAGACCATAAACACTTGAAATTAAATCTATAGAGAGCAATGGTCTCACAAATCCAATAAATGATCCCTTACTCTCAATGATGTCACCCAGGCCCTGGGCATAGAGGAGATCTTTCAGACGAGACACCTCCTCCTTCAGCTCGCGAACCAGTCGGTTGTTGGGGTCCTCGTTGATCACAGCGTTACAGCGAATCTGTTTGGCGCGGTCTGCATACCTGCGGGTGCAAGGGAGGGATCATTGGGCATGCTGACACAGGTGAGGGAGGAGACAAAAAGGCACACACATTCACCATCCCCCTGACATTACACATCCACAGGATTCTGCAGCCTCGCATTGTAACTCAAGAAGGGCGTTTGAAGTGTAAAACTAATGCAAGCTGCGTAGGAAAACGTGTATCACACAACACTTAAGTCTCACTGCCATCAGTTTCCTTCAAAGCCACATTCAGCAGCGGTGTGGGATGAAAAAGATGCAGTTTGTCTGCTCTGTACCTGAGTGTGCTGAGGGTCTCATCGTAGTTGATGTCAGCTGGACTCAGGGCAGCCACCATCGCAGTACGAGAATTCCCCCCTGACACAATTAAGACAACACTTTGGTCTCAGTTTGTCCAGAACTAGTTGACCACTGACTTTTAACAAAGAAATAAATACTGTGTTCATACCCAAATTTTCTCTCAGTAACCAGGTGAGAACCGAATCTCTGTAGGGGATGTGGCTTTCCACTTTCTTCTTCTTTTTATTCTGTGTATTACATTAAATCTAAAAATTAAAATCAATGCATGTGATGGCATTTAGGTAAAGGTGAATTAAAAAAATTATAAATTACCTTATTCGACCCAGAGTCCTAAAATGAAGTAGACAGTAAAATGAACATGTTTATCCTGCAGAACAGCTTTATCTCACAATGTGCCATATGAAGATGTAATACATACCACTTCTGCCAAAGCAGAGATGACTTTCCCCAGTGTAGTTAGAGATTTGTTGATATTTGCTCCTTCCTGCGACACAACAAGAAGCAGAGAATGATATTCACATTGAAATGAACTTCTTTAATATGCAAATATATATATATATATATATATATATATATATATATATATATATGTCTCTTATCATCATTGTTTCCCTTATAGGGTAATAAAATGTATTTTGTGTTTGAATATTCACAGTGCAGTTGAGAGAAACATTTCACCTTAAGCCTGGTCCCTTTGGCTCCAGTAGAATCAGCCCTCTCACTTCCCGCCAAATCCACCAAACTTATTTTGCTGACCTGCAACAGAACATCCACTAAATAAACTGCAAGACATTATCTGACAACTAAAAAAGCTAAAGCTAATCATCTTTATTTCAGAGACAGTTTTCATTAAAAAATATTACCTTTTCATTACAGCATGACCTTCAAGCAATCATTGATTTCCAATTTACGACAAGATTTAAATCTGTGTCATCAATCAGCTCATCGACAAGCACAGGCAACAGATCAATGCTAAACAAGTTCACTCAGGGAGTGATAAAACTACCTTTTCAGAGGTGTTATCAGTCTCAGCATCATGGCGTTTCTGAGTGAATATAATGTTAAAGACAGCATGCGAGCGACTGCTTGTCTCATTCATGTTGGTGGCAGCCACAGTCCTGTAGAAACAGTGAACACATTATTAAGGAAAATGTGTCTCTTAAGATGACGGAGCAAATTGCAAATCCTACTATTTATGTTGCAGGCGTGACAAACAATCAAAAAACAGAGTTCAAAGGCCAAATGGGTACAATATAAATAATCAACTCATAAACCCATAATAAGAACTTCTGTCTCTGATTGTGAGTGTCGGCACAGCTATAGTGTGTGATCCTTCTGGTATGTACTGTACATTTTACTAAACCCTCTATGGCAACAGTGCCTGAATGATTGAACAGCTTCTCACCTGGCCTTGTTGCCAGAGTCCATCAGGTCCTGGATGTCATTGTAGGAGGTGACAGCCAGCTTAGACAGGTCCTCCACATAAGGCCCCATCAGAGGATGTTCTCGAACACGCAGGTTCCCTTTATTTTTGGGGTTCAGTAAGTCCCGCACACGTTCACAGTAGATTTCCATGTAGCTTACCTGTTTAGAGTTATAATATTAGCTTGAGGTTCAGGTGTACAGCACAGACAGTGAACCTGTATTTGTCTTAATTGCATTAGCAGTATTAGTTTTTGTGTCTACCTGTCCAGGGACTAGAGATGGAAATGAGCAAGTAGCTAAATCTGGGACAATACTTCTCTTCACTTTGTGTGAGATTAATGTTTTTGTACTTGGGCCCTGACAAATAAATGGAATAAACTAAACAAAATCATAAACTAAAAGGGAGGAGCTGATGACAAGGGGCATTGATGCTTACCTCCACAGAATAAGACATGCTGTTGTCTGTATTGTCATTGATCTTAGTGAAAAGGTCTTCACACAGCTGGAAGGAGAAAAATAAAAACATGATTTCTACAGTTGTAAAATCTGAGAAATCAGCTATCCTCTGATTTATTATCAGCACTGGTCAAATCATCATAAGTCGGTACCAGGGGAATGATTCCTTGTTGGTCCTTGACATCCTGTTTCCCCATCATGGTGTAGGACTTGCCAGCGCCTGTCTGACCATAAGCAAAGATGCAGACGTTGTAGCCCTCAAAGGCGTGCAGCAACATTTCCTCTCCGATGTCTTTGTATACTTGCATCTGAGAAGCATAATTGACATCCTCGGGCTGTGGACAAAGATGAATAACCACCGTATAAGTCTTACACTTTATCATATAATGTAAAAGTGTAAGTGTGCGCGAGTGTGTGTCTTTGTTGGGGTGTCTGTACAACATTTGCGCTGTGGGGGTGCAGAAAGAGTTACCGAGGTGTGGGACCAGTAGGAGTAATCAAAGTTGAAGCTCTTGTTGTCTTTGGCCTGCTTGGGGTTGATGATGGCTGAAAGACAGGACAAGGAACACGGGTCAGAGGGAGGGTGAGAGCTGCCCACGGGAAACTCTATCTGAGCTGTGTCGGTGTCATGTTGTGCTAATAGAGCTGGGAAGGCCTTAGTCGCCACCTCCTCTTTATGTACCAATATCACCTTTAGTGATTTGCGCCTTTGCACTAAAGCAAAACATGATGACACTGCTGATGTATTGCAACAAAACACTTTTTTGGAGGACCAACAGAGTGCTGAGACAATCTTTTTTTCATGAAATGAAATACATATATCCTGTTATATCAGTTGCCATCAAGCAGGAAGCTTCTGGTCAGAAACCTGAGGCAAACGCGCAAGTCCATTAAACCTGCATTCTATCGAACGGCAAGCAGGGGGCGACACTTCTGGTTGCAAAAAGAAGTCCGGTTCCATTACAAATAATGGTAAAATGACCCTACTTCTCAGCTGATTTATTACCTCAGTAACAACACTTTCCTAATGAGTTTATGGTCTCAGTCGCTAGCTTCAGGTCTTCTTCAATACAACAATATGTTCATTTAGTAAATTCTGGTCCCATTTAGAGGAAAATAGACCAGAAAGCAGAGTATGCTTCAGGACAGGGATATCTATGATTGACAAGTCGTTACCATGGCAACCTGTCAATCAGGCTAGGGTAACTCATACCCACGGCACTGTGTAAATTTAACCAGCGCTGTTGAAAAAGCTTATTAGGAGCTGGCTGTTCACTTTCTCTGGTGAGTACATTTAGTTTTAAGACTGTTGTTCGCTAGACAAAATGACAGCTAAGGTGAAATACAGATGCAGCTAGTTAAGCAAGCTAACTAGCTCCACAAACGGCTCCACCGTTAGCTCCACCGTCACAAAAATCAACATGGCGGCGCCCTATTGGACAAACTCGAGGCTTCAAAACATGGTTTAAAAATTGCAAAATGCCATTTTAAAGAAACTGAATCTACAAGATTGTATAAACAACATAAGCAGTATACATTTGCAGGCTTTGATGAAATAATAGAGGGACTTACTGCTGACCACTGATACACAAGTGAAGTGTTTAGCTTTAATTTCAAGTTTCAAGGTGACACATAATGAATCACTCTGTAAACATCCAAACTTGTGTACACATCTGAGAGAATAGGAATATCAAAAGCAAGAAAATCTTCAGTCTGGCTCCACTGGTGCTATAGCATCATTACACACCAAAAAAAACAAAATTTCTTGATAAAAAGAAGACACATTTTCACTATTCTCCTGTTTTCAAATGTAGGTTTTGGCCTGATGATGGTGCCAGTCAAACGACCATGTTGTTGTGTACCGGGTTTCTCTATCTACCAGTGGCCATTTTAGGACAGCTCAGACTCAGCTTGTCAGGCTCAGCTCAGCTTTCAACAGTCTCAGCGTGAAACAACCATCATCCCTGAGCTGTACTTCAACAGGCTCAGTAGTGCGATGTTATCCTTCAGAAAAATTCCACCTCAGTGAATGTTTTTCTACTTTTTCTACTCAAACAGAAAACTATGTTTTGCCCATTACACATTTTTTAGATATAGCAAAATTTACAAAATATATATATAATCTCACACCAACGTGGCTCGTCCCCAAGTCCCCTCCCTGTTCCACTCACATACACACTAAAAGAGGATCTGACTCAAAAGGAAATTCAAATTTATATCAAAAAAGAGAGTTCCAGTAGCAGGACCACACCTCAATCATGCCACATCCAGCTTTCCTGTAAACACCCAATCCTCTCCTCCACTTTCGCTCTCATATTCTGCGCCCCTCCTTCCCACTCTTCTTCTGTCTCTTTTGTCTTCCTCTCCTTCCTCCTCTCTGTACGGTCCTGAGGGGGTCCATCATGCCTGGGTGCTACAGCGGATTCCCCACCCAAGCTTTTCCACAACACAGCAGCAGACCAAAGTCTCGCACACAATCATTTTCGTTTATAATCATTTAAACATGTATTAAAATAACGAGAGACAAATGTAAACCATTCTGACTTAGTCAGACTACTAATGGTGTTTCATTTCTGATTTAATTTTCTGATGTGTTGGCGTGGTCTCCCTAGATGACTTCCACACCCACTGTAGCCTTCTAATGGATATATGATGGTCAGTGTTTTTTGTGATTCACAGAGAATTGCAGTCTAAAAAATACCATTTTGGTCTGGTAGATTTACATCCCAGGATCACCACTGATGTCTCAAGCAAATGTTCGTAGTACATTTATGATTGATAAAATATTTTCCTACGGATCTCCGACCTAACTTGATATTAGATAAGTCTGCTTCATGACCCTTTTTGAGCAAAACTGAGGTACTCCCTCCCTCCCTTTATGATGATGACAATTGACCACATGAAAGAATAATATTCTCAAAAAATCAAGTTGAACCAACTACAATGGGGGTTTTGTAGAAAACTCCTTTCAATTTACAATTAAAGCCTGTATGATGGGATGCTACTGTCCGTTCATTCGCATGATTTAGAGAAACATTTTACAGTTACAATTTACATTGTGTAGTTAAACATAAACGCAAAGTACTATTGTTTTCTCTTAAGGCATCTATTATACTCAAGTTTTCCAATCAAGAGTTTTTATGTGAATATGCCAAAACCTAGTAGCGTGCCCACCCAAGAAAAATAGTGGTGTGGTAATACCAGCTATAAAAATGCTTCCTCCCTGCTCCCAGAGGTCCAGACACCATTTTCTCTGCTAATGCAGATGTGGTCGATAATAGAGAAAAAGGCCCAGGGCTAAGTACACTTTCAAGTAAGTGTACACACTACTATTTCCTCTCTACACTGGTACTGTACTCCCAGCTATGAAATGTAGGCCAGTGGCTGGGTTTCGGGTTTCAGGCCCATTCCTCACCATGACAGAAAGACGAGGCTTCATTTACCGGGCATGATTTGTCCGGATACTCTGGAAGATGGCCAACTATGAGCATGCTGTAGATGCACTACAGACTCACACAGTCCTCTCTTTCATATTTATCCAATATTATTGTCCTTAAATACATGATGTTTACTGCTAAGCACAGCTACAGAATCAATTTCACTAATCAGCTGGAAATGCTTTCCACAGTGCTAATTTCTCCCACTGTGCACTGCAACAAATGGTCATACAATAAATAATATGTTGTAACATCAGACATCACTCTGAACGTTGGTGTTGTTGGCCATTACAAAGCCAGTCCGATCACATATTCAGTAAGTAAGCTGTGGCTGTGCATTTCTTTACAGTAAAAATAATATAAGATAAGATAAGATTTATTTATCTGGTGTTGCAGCAGCACAAAGACTAGTAGAATAAGTAGAATTGATGGCTTTGCACATGTCCTAACTAACCACTTTTTAAAGAAAATGCAGTTTCAGTGATGAGGTGGTGCAGTTGAAACAGTGAAAAAGTGTAATGGTGGGTCACTGCAATTTGTTTACAATATCTCGTAAAAAAAACAACAACAACCCATTATGTTTGTTTTAATACTGCATTTCTGATATGCAGCATTAACAAACATCCCTTCCATCACTGAAGAAAAAAGCCCTCTTTGAAAAGCCTCTATAGGTGTACACACATATATATGTATATATTAGATATATATTAGATATATATTAGATACACATTATATAATGTGTATCTAATACAGCCTGACAATTAATGAAGGTCCCACAAGGTCTCAAGCTGCCACGAGGTAAAAACAAGAAAGAAACTCAGTGGTCTTCTTGGTAAATAACACTGCCTTGGTTTTATAAAATCAGGACTCTATAACAGAGGAGACCGATCAAATAAACCAAATCTGAAAGGAGACGTGGACAACTTTACCGAACCACTAAAATGAAAAATACATCAAGATCTGTCTATTACCAAGAAGCAGAGCCCCTGCAGTACGACATCCTCTCGTTGCTTAGTCATCTCTGGTTTGTGGTATGATTCATACAAGATGACCCCCCCCCCCCCCTCCATAATCCAGCGCTGGAAAGAAAAGCTCTCAGATAAAGTAATTACTTTAGAGTAGCAGTGATTGGCAGCATATATGAGGGTTAGACATGAGGCAGATCTGCCCATTCATATTAAACTCAGCAGCTTACGTGACGTCACAGTGGTCACAGCTCTCCACCTGAGGCCAGTTTTAGCAGCATTTTAAGCACACAGCATGTCTACTCATCATAGCCCCCTTTACTACCTGTCTTATCTTTTTATAATGGAAATGCTTTTTAATTACGGGGTGCTGAGTTTATAGATGACGGCAGTTCTCTAAGTCACGTCATGGAGGGCAAACATGATTAGACTGAATACATCAGCAGCTTAATTTTCTTCTGGCCGTGTGCTCGCAAACCTCGTCACCACAGGTGGTCAGGAGCGTATGCACGCATCCACCATATCTACGCTTTAATCAACATAATGTTTGCACATACTGACTTCTTCTAGTGAGATACGTAAGTGTACAGTACACCACTGATATTCCCACTTACATTTACAGCAATCAAATTACATCTTTGGAAGAGAGAAAAATAAGCAGGAATCATTCATATACTGTATGTTGTATGCAGTTTTAATTAATTAGCTAACTTCTTGAAAACAACTTTTATTTTCATTATTGAATAATTTATTTTCTTGACTGATTAACTGTTTAGTTTATAAAATGTCAAAAAATAAAAGTTATCAAAATTTTAATGTCTTGTCTGAGTAATGGTCCAAAACCCCAAGATATGTTTTTTAATATCATAAATGATTTTGTTTTAAACACAGCAAGTATTCATATTTTAAAAACTGGTACCTGTGACCTATTTTTACTTAAATGTCAAATTAGTTTATATATTTCAAAATATTTGATCAAAATTGTTTTGATGGCATTTTTCTGTCAAACAACTAAGATAGATTGATCCAGTAATTATTTCAACTCTTCTTAACTGGTCCATGGTAACGAAGCTAACTCGAGTGTTAAGTGTAACATGTCTTCTATATGATAATGCGACAATTGTGCAACCTTTTCTCACACCAATCACTTTTCAGCTGATACCATTTTACTTTCAAATACTGGGTACTATTTCACCACGGCCGAATAACTGTGTAGTTAACTTTGTAGTTACACCTTATATTACATTTGTAAGTACTTATTACAAAGGGATAGGTCCAGCTTTATTTTTAAGATCTACATGTTTCATTGACAACACTGTACAGTATGATTTTATATCAGGCATCATATCAGTTATCGGTGATTTTAATTCCCCAAAATGTGTATTGGAATATGGAAATACATAAATACTGTATATTTTATGTATCCCGAATTGAAAAGAGGGTGCACTTTATTTTCAGCAGGTGTGATCATTAGTATTCTCACTGTTTTTTAGAATTATGCCACTGCAATTCATAATCATTGTTAGTGATGCCAACACCTCACATCATTTATCCTAATTATAGAGGTGATGATCAGCTCTAGTTTAATTTAGTTGTAACACATGATATTTTCAGCATCCTTTTACGACACACGCCGTGTTTGTCTTTGTCATAGCTGCTGGGTCTTCATAATTGTGACTGTGTAATGCTGGTCAGATTGTCACGGGTGACCTGCCCCAGTAAATAGGAAAGGAAATCTGGCTGCGTCAGCAGGTCTGGCAGAAGGGATGTGAACCCACTGACAGAGACGGGAGGAGAGCCACATAAATGCTATTTTCAGCAGCAGCAGCAGCAGCACTTAGCTTGTTGTCTGCTGCTTTATGTTGGTCTATGTCCGGCCAGAATTAGCATTATAACGGAGTAAAGATTTTGCTAATGAGGTCCTTTAATTGTGCTAAAAATTAAAAAGGGCCGCATGAATCCACTCAATTGCCCCTAAAATAAATTTAATTCGTGTGAATTTGGACAGAGTTGACAGAAGTTTAGATAAGGACTTCATACTAATTGGTGCATGATATTCATGTTTTTTTGTATTAATTCGACAGCCCAGGATAACTTATATCTAATTGTTATTTAGCAATTTCCAACTATTTGAAGTTGTTTACACAACAGCAGACAGATAACTTGAATTCCAACATACTGTATGACAAAGCAGCCACAGAAACTACAGTCAACAGCAGGAACTAATGCATGAGAAATGCACTACTACTTTTGTGTCGAAGGGTGTGTCCACATTTAAACAGATAGAATGTCCAACAGCAATATAAATCTGCCGTTGGGGGGCATATAAACATTTACCTTTATACAGTAGATATTACCAAGAGCGCTTCTAATGATTAAGTATATAAAAAGATATTTTGAATCAGTCCAGTAGTGAAATCTCTTAGTTCTAAGCAGTCTACGTTTTTTGCTTCAATATAAATCAAAATCTCTCCACCAAGTATATGCACCCATTAGCCTTCTAAAGAGAGACCTACTTTTTACTTCTGGTCTGTCCTTTGCATCTTAATTAAGTTCAGCGTGGGAGGGAAGATCTCTCAACCAACAAGATTACTGCCATTCTCCTGCTTTGTGGGAACTGGGCTATTGACCCACACATGAGTGTCAGAGAGCACAAAGCAGAGAGTGAGACACGCATAAAAAACTCCTTCTTCTTCTTCGTCTTCCTTTCCTCAGCCCAGACTACAAAAAGACAATGGGGCATTTATACTCTGCCTCTGTACCCCCTCCAGACACTGCAACCAATGGGCTTTTTCATGACATCAGTCTGCTCACATCCTCCAGTCCACATCCAGAGCCATTGACTCAGTTTGGAAGAGATCTGCTCTGCTGAAAGACTTGCGGCCTCACTGAAAGTGGCTTTGTGTTGTGTGTGGGTCTGAGCAACAAGACGCTTTCTAGTACTGCCGACATAATGGTAAAAATCTGTTTAATTTCTGGATTTTGAAGATTATACAGATCACCACTCAGTCAGTGTGTTTGTGTGTGTGTGTGTGTGGAGGTGTGTGTGTGTGTGTGTGTGTGGGGGGGGGGGGGGGGGGGTCAACTCCCTTTCGTGTGTCAAGCCTGATAAGCTGTGTCAATCAAATGTCCATTGCAATGTCTGTCTTTAACTACCATAGCCCTGAAATCTGAACTGCAATATACGAATTCACCAGCTTGTAGAAGTGATTTAAGTTGTGGGGAATCCAGCCCAAGAGCTCCCAGATTTAACTGGATGCAGGTCTAAAAAGATCTTTTGCACATTCTTCTGTTACTTATATTCAAGGTCACTCCAATTTCTGATTTGACTATAATAATAAAAAAAAGGTCTAAACACCCGAAGCAGCCAACTACATAAACTGTTGGGGGTTTTTTTTAGCTCCCCATCACTTTATGCAAGAGTTATCTAAAATCTAGTGTCTCAGCCTGGCTGATGTTGTACTCTCTTGAATGAGCCACAGTACAGTTTTTTACTGCAAAAGCACTACTATGTTAGGTTCTATCACGAGGTCTACAAACAAACTAGAATAGAATAGTGAATATTGCAGTGAATAAGAAAGAACTTTGCAAATTAGCATAAAGTAAAGGACAAGCAACACAATTTACTGAAATTCAAGAGTTTTCAAGTCACATGTACTTGGATAACTATCTTAATTAGAAAGAACAAACAGGCTTTGTGGGATTAGAAATCCAATTCACAGATAAAATCAAACGGGACTTCTCCAAGGACATTTCAGTGGTGTCCACACTGTAAATGTATTCCCTGTGGACTACAGTGCCTCTTATCTACGTTTACACTGCTAAAAGAGACACTGCTGATGGCAAAATACTCATTGTCCAGAGACATAAGAAGGAGCTCTGTGCCAAAGCAATAACACCATTCTTACCGTGGGTATCAACAAAATGTAGTCACCATCATGCTATGAAATCCTTAAGGGAGAGTTAAAAAAAATAATATGAGATTTTTTTGTATTTAGTCTACCAGGTTTACTACATCACAAAATGCAACAAATCAAATATGATGGTCCAAAAAAGCCACCTAGTGTGTTGTTTAGTCACCCATGACATGAGGAAGGAGGGGGGAGATGGCTAAATTAGGCCAAATGGTAAATATTTCAGGAAGCCTCATCCATTATTGACAAATGGCTTTACCTTGCTAAGCAGGCTACATATCGAGTATCTTTCCAGTCTCCTCTCGACCAGAGTCCTCACTCTGTGCACTGTACAACCCAAGGAATGTGGGGTGATGCTCCGAACTACATACGTACAAAAACTAGTACAGAAAGGTTTGCAGGAAACTTTACTCGAGCTAGATCCAAGTACACAATAAGTGACACTCCCAAATTTTAACATGGGTTTTTCCATATAGACACAATCATTAATTTCATCCAAATATAGCCATCATTGTGCTTATTGCTTACATTTGCATTAGTGGCAGATTTGAATGGAAAGATTAACACTTTGAATAAAGAGCCATTTTAAATCTGGATTAATCTGGCCACATAAACAGGCATTGCCCTAAATAAATATCAGGTCAAATATGCAGGAGATTATGTCACCTAGAGCCTGATGTTCAAGAGATTTTTAGAGCAGGTGATTCATTTTGACAACCGCTCTACTGCTTGGTGTATTCAGTAACCGAAAAGATCGACCATGTAGTAATTAGACAGTCGTCAATCTTGCAGACAAGCTCAACAAGATGACATTTCCTCTATAGATACATTCCAATTATCTCCAACAGAATCTCAGTCACCCCTGCTACTATGCAAGGGAACCTGTTTTCAGTAATCCCCTCACACGGGGTGGTGAGGGGTCAAGGTCAGCAATAGTTCAGAAAAGCCTGAACCCGTGCCTTCTGGTTGAGGAAGGATCCCCCAGTTCATGCGTACATCTGGCTGGGTGTCTTCTGCCAACCACTTTCTGAATTTTTTTTTCTGCAATCTATATTTTATCTTAAATTTAAGACAATGAAAACACAAAAAATAACAAGTACACATGCGTAAATGTAAAGCTGTCTTTAGAATACTTACTGGTGGTGTTTCCAGACATCTGGATAATGCATTTGCTTTCTTTTCCCATCTCCCTTGAATTGAAGGGGCGGACACGCACCGCCACCTTCACAGAGGCCCCTGCCATGGTGCTTTCTTCCTAGCACCTTGGGGTGCCTTTGTTAGTGCCCAGGTGTAGGGACTGCAGGTCTGTAGAAGGAAGCACATAGTGAATCCTCATTAGTATGTAAGTATATATCACTTCATATGCAAACCAACTAATGACACATTTTTTGGCATTATGTTATGTTATGTTACAAAAGTGAGCTCTATAATTTTTACATGTGTGTAAAAAATTGTAAGAGCTGAATATTGCACCTTATGGTTGACATGATGAGCACAATAGAGCAGGGCAGGGCTGTGTGGCAATAACATGAAAAGACCATGCATGGTCAGCTACAGCCAAGGGAGTTGGATAATAAAGCTAGCAGTAACAAAAGAAGTGCAGCAGCAGCAGCAGCTAAATGTCAGGCTATTTCCCTGGATGACAATGGCCCTGTAACCAGCCACAAATCCAGGGTCTGGCTCCATTCAGTAGCTCAGTTTCATGAAACTCGTAACTCATCATCATACTGTCTCCTAAAAGACTACATATGAAAATTAAATCCCTGTGTGATTTTAGTGAATGCTGGCATCGTGGGTGTATCAAGTGCAACCATGACTCATCATCTGTGGCGATCAAATTACAATCATTTAACATTTTCATCAATAAGCTTCAACAGCGAGCAATGTGATGTCAATTAATATTAGAAAACAATCATCATTTAGCATATTAATGAGAGAAAGTGTCATTTCTTTAACTTAATTTATGCCCAAGATTTGGGATGATGTTGGATTTTGTATCAATATTCAGAGTATGTTCCTTGGATTTGTGACTCAGATGTCTGTCCTCATAATTGAGCGTTGTAGATTTGCTGTGTCACCCTGCTTCCTGGTACATTCTCTATAGCTCACACCTGAACAGATTCACTTGTGATACGCATGCGAGCAATGTTGTTTCAATGGGAAAACATTCTTTCGGCATTTAAGGTGCAATTGTACCATATACTGAGGACAAATTAGGATGAATAAATTAAATAGACTAAACAGTGTAGTAAGATTCAACATCAAATTCAATATTGTTTTGATATTTGAAAGGAAGCAGTGAAGACGAAATTCACATGTGTAAAGCATCTTATGTTCACCTGCTGCAAACAGATTATATTAAAGTAAGCAATACTTTTAGGACTGACAGTTTCAATCTGCTTTTTTTCCGGATCAACATCCAAGTATATAATAATCTTGTCATACAGTTGCTCAGACCAATCAGCTGATGATGCAGCTCAGCTGGGCGGTGACCATTTTCCCGGTGACAAAGGCCAATATAATTTACCATGCTGCTGTGTATTTCAGCGTGACGACGGCCTGATACAATTTTGCCTTATCACTCAGAAAAATGATTCAATCGGTAGCTTTTTAGTATGACAGCAAAGCCATGAACCAGGTCAACGCTGACAGGTTTTGTTAGGCTAAAACTGACAATTCATTGCTGTAATTACTGAAAAAATAGGCTACTTCTTGCGTCATTTTCTGAGCTTATCGCATCTTCAATCAACACATAGGCTGCGTCTGGTAGTTTACCTTTCGCCCAATGACAGGGCATTTCTTCCTGTCGTCCTGCTCACATAATTAAAATACATTTTTTCAAACAGCATAGCCTAAGCAATAACATAACATGACAGTGCATGTGCTGTGTTACGGCTTTAATGTCATTCGCTCTCTACAGTCGACTATATTGACAGTGACAGCCTCTTCAATGGCCGCACCCTATGCCCATCTCTTCCCAGGAGATTTAACACTAAGTAAATAAAGACTGTCTCGTTAAAACTGCAAAGCCAGCGGGACAATGAAGAAATAAAAAAGGTTTACCTACCTTCGCAGTGTCAATAACGTCTCGCGTTTGTGTTGCTCGCCTGCTTTATTATCCAGCTCCCTAGCTTCTCCCACCTCCGTTGGTCTCCTCCAGGTCTGGCACTGCCCCTGCTAATAGCCTCTCCTCTCCATGAAAACTGAAAGGGCAGTTACCGCCGAAGGCGTATTGTACCCACCAACCCACCCCCTCTGCCCTGCCTAGCCAGTGGGGACCCAAGAAGGAAGGACGGCCGGTTGTTTGAATGGTTTCCACACCTCAAAGCCGTCAAAATGGCTCTGTTGTCTCCCTGTCTTTGGTAAGGATGCTCGAGCTCCACTGAGCTGGTGACATCACCACCGAGGGAGGTAACAGCATCAATGCAGTGGTGGGAAGAGAGAGAGAGACGAGGGAGGGGAGGAAGACAGGGAGCAGGATTTAGTATCCCCCTTGTAACACCTCACATAAAAACTGCTGCTGTGTTACACTTATTTAAAGTTAAAGATAGCGGGGATAGCCTACAATATTTTCCCAAAAGGGTTACAACAGCCAAGTTTACTCACAGTTTTGAATGTAGTGGACAATAGGAGCATGAACCCGTTATGAATAGGGTTTAGTAGGACATCAAGCTGAGAGGAGACAAACTGGCACAAAGCAGGTCTCCGCACCATGGAAACTGTCTGTTCAGTGAAGCGCGCAATGTGGCATCTGGGATCAGAGTCTGCCCACAGAACCAGTAGGACTATTATACTGTAGCAGAAACATTATCATGCTTCTTAAATTGCAAATGGGGTGTCCCCAATTTGCCTCTTTCTTAAGTGATGTGGCTTGTCCTTGCAGTTAGAAGTGTTTTCAGTCGGTTGTGTCTACACCCTCTGTCTACTGCTACCTAACGTTATATGGTAAACATGCTATAGGCCTACTTTTCTTTTTAACAGCAGACATTTTTACTTGTCACAGTAGGAAAGGTACAGGTGTTACTAACACTAGTGATGGATCTGCTCTATCCAAGCATGCACAATAGCAGGACCCTTAAACTGAAGAGGGCTAAATGTAATTCAGCCATCTTTAAATGTATTATTTACACCTGTGTTTTTCCTACTGTGACATGTCATGCTCTCATGGCAGAGCCATCATTAATGTTATGGGTAGCTCATGAGCTTTTCCTACAATCACATGTCAAAATGTCTGCTGTAAATAAATGGCTATTATTTTTGTTTGATTTGGGGGATTTTAGCAATATGGAGGGAAGAAAGGGTATTTTACAAGTTACAAGGTAGTTTATTTATCATTATACACACACAACGTAGCATAGCAAAGTTTGTAGTCCCTTCATGCTACACACACAGAACTTAACAGATAATTAAATGTGTATTAAAAGATGGTAACATATACATTAAATAAAACAATATAAACAGACATTTAGATACATATATAAAGTGGGAGTCCTGTGTTGGACTCATGATCTCCTCACCACGGCCTTTAAATAGAACTGCTCTTAGACAGCCACTGAGCTGATTGGAGAGATGAGAGGGCCGAGCCTAATAATGACAATGTGTCCTTGTGGAAGGGACCTGACCCATAGGTCAGTAATGGCTGTTTCTATCAGATCAATACATTTTCTTTTCACTATTAGTATATAAGTTACCTTATAGTACAATACAGTCTGGATTCTGAACAGCAAGTTATTTCTTAGAAGTAAATGTTCTGCATAGATGTATCTACCAACCATTGCATGTTAAAGTACACATAATTCCAAATCTATTCCATGGTACACCTATTAGTTGACATCTGTTTTCACCTACAGTGTAAATAGGCTTATGAACATTATGCCATGCTTGTATTATGATAAAATACCGAGTCCGTTGTTTGAGGATTAGCAGCAATAAAGGGTTATGAACAGGAACTCTGCATGGTGGTAGGATACTTTGGCTGCTCAGGTTTCAGCCTGAGTGAAACATAATGCAATTGTGTTTTCTGACCTTGCTCTTTGCACAGTCCTACCGTTCCTACTGATCCCCCCCACCCCCCCACCCCCCAACCTCAACCTCGGACACATTTGCTCGATGTGTATGTGTATCTCCCTTGGGCCCCGTCTGTCTCCTCCACTTCTGTCTGATGCAATTGCTTTATTTAATTCATCAGCATTAAGATTTCGAGATCCAATCCGTGTACAGAAAGAATATACTGCTTTGAGAAGTGTAGCCATGGTCTACCAACGCCACACAGAAAAGAAGAAAAAGAAGTGAGTGTGAATCACAACAGATAAAGAAGGATGTTGTCACTCGCATGAATCACTACATACTAGATGAAGTACCCCATATACACTCTTCCTCCCTGTTTTAAAGTGAAGTAGGCCAAGCTGAAGACTCAGTTTTATAAGTGAGTGAAAAGGAAATGTCTTGATTATTTAGGAGTACGAGCGTCCACTAAAGGAAGATGCAGGGGTATTGTTTCTGCCAAGCCTTCCTTCTAGCTCTGTTCTGCCATGTCTAAATTCAGTGGCACAGGAGCCTGAATAATTTATTGTTTGAGTGAGCTGTTGGCTTGAGCCTAGTGTGACAGACATGTTTTCTTAAAGAGACGCTCTTGGTGTGTATTAGAACACATTGTGCAAACTCCCACCCTAACTTCATTCAACATGGAAACAATTTTGATTGGAAAAGATTATAAGAATAAAATGGAGAATTTGTTTTTTTTTTTTAAATCTAAAGGTGTCATTGTAACCAGTGTATGGATAATGGCATACAGTAGTTAACCAATAATAAACTAGTCATGTTTTATCCAGTTTTAACTTATTTTAATAGTCTAGCTTTCTGAATTTTATTGCACACTTTACACACACACACACACACACACACACACACATTTCCTATAATGATTCAGGAGTTGCAATCGATCATTTGCGTGTCCAACTAATAGGTCTTCTCCAATGTGGTAGAAGTACTCAGCCTATTCCTGCATTACATATCTATTAGCATAAACATGTACAAAAAGTAAAATTACTCATTATGTAGAATGGCCCATTTCAAAATAATAAATAGTACATAATTGGATAATAACTATGTGTATGCATCACTTTAATGTTGCAGCTGGCAAAGGAAGGGATCGTTTTAACTAGCCTGTTGGGTAGGAGTATTATCTATAACAGCAATGATTACAATACATGACTAATTGTTGATTATAATTTCTGTTAATAATCTGAATTTGTAAGTAACAACAACTAAAGCTTTCAAATCACTTTTGTGGAGTAAAACGTATGATTTGTAGTGTAGTAGAAGTACTAGCCTATAAAATGGAAATATTAAGTAAACTTAAAAATTGTACTCAAGTACAGTACTTGAGTAAATGTAGGGCTACTTGGTTACTTTCCACCACTGGGTATTATCACTTAGCCTCATTATAATTTCTGTCCTATTGTCCTCATAATCAAGGTGTGGGAAAATGTAGCACGTCACTTCCCCGATGCTGTTGGTGAGATAGGCGCCCCCTGGTGGAATGGAAACAAATGGACACTTAAGATCCATTCAAGATAGATGCAAGGTAAAACAACCTTTAACCTTAATTAAAAAGCTACATTAAAGCTCTGTTTGACTCATCAGATCTGTAAGACTGATGGATGGCCACAGCCATTTTATAAAGTCAGCAGAAGTCAGGGAACATGTGTTGGTTAAATGGAGTCTTGACTTAAATTTTAGTTAGTGCTTTGTATTTAATTGTTTTTCCTATGTGAATTCCTGCACATTATCATGTCCAGTCTGACTCATTGGTCTGTCCAAGGTATAATTCCAACAGAAGAGAACTGTGCTGAAGAAACATACCCTATTATTTGGCTAGATTATTAGAGAACAGTTTATTGTAGAGTTCAGTGACAGATTGGAACACCATCATCCTGATCTCAATTTCACCAAAATTTCATGACAAAAGGAAAAATTCATTCAGTGACAGAAGTATTCGGTACAGCACGTAGGTTACTGACATTTCACCATTACATTACTTGCACCGCACAGACCACTTGCACAGTGGTCACCTCAACATCTACCACAGTTTACATCCATCACAGCCACAGGGGATGACTGACTTTGTCTGACCAGCTTAATGAGCGCAAAACATCTGTATGCCCACAACCTTGAACATGGGATGAAAACACAGTTATTTGTAAATTACTGTAAGATGCCCTCCTTTTACTTATATTGCTCGCATGACAAGAACTTAGTTAATAAAACACAATAACCTTCACAGAATAATTAATATGTACAGTGTGAAACTGTGTTGAGAAAGTTTGTTAAAATCACTCTTATCACAGAAATAATATTCTTTGTCCAATTCAAGATCACACCTTTGCATCAGCCTGGATTTGTAGGTTCAAGACTCAAATAGCATTCTGTAAATGACACTTTTGCTATGTAATGAAGAAACTTGTCACTATTATGGACTAATTCAAAAGCATTTATCACTAATACACTATTAAAATAAGTCACTAGAAATATATGTTTATTAGGCTGACATTTAGCAGCACCTTTCAATGGTAACATTACAGTACCAAGTGTACTGTATTTTATTACCTTAATGTATCTGCAGGGATGGACACACAGGTACTGTACATCTGACTTCAATACAGTCTTAGAGCCACTGTTACCCTGCCATACCATGCATAGTGCACAGGATCAATGCCCAGTGTTTCCACATAAAAACGTCGTTAGGGCATTGTTAAGTGTGGTGATTTCTCAGTTCGTATAAATGTTTAACTACTACTACTTGAATGTGAATAACTAATTCACAGCAACTGAGTTGTTATTATGTGTGATTTTAGATGATCAGTGAAAATTTTGGCGCTATTTAACTATTCCCATGGTAACTAATTAGACTACAAGTTTGTCATTTTATTTATTTCCCTTTGTGATATGACTCAATGTTCATTTGCAACTTGACAAGCAGATATTGAAATTTTAATTAGGAAAAGCACTACTTTTGAAATAACTGCGGGAAAATTAACAACCCATGGAGTCCTTTCTCAGAATATAGAGAATCAAATATTAGATTTTACTAATCTTTCCCTTATCCTTTTCATGATATATGACATGGCAAAGAATTATTAATTCTATTTTATTATTGAAGGTAGGTAAGATGCTGAAATGCCGAGCATATTTTTAAATGAAGTTTTAAAAAAACATACTATTACCTGTGTTTTATATTACTCATTGTAAAGTTTCTATTAAGGGAAAAATGATCTCTATGAAGTTACTTTTATGTGCTGAATTTCATGATTGGCATGATTGAAATCCTCCAGATACACAAGTTACAAGTTAATGGGGAAAATGTTACTAGTTAGCTAATACATTTTGGTGTGAAAAACCACTTAAAGGAACAGTTACATATTTGGGGAAATAAGCTTGCTTGTTGTTTTGCCCAGAGTCAAGGATTGATATCAATTTCATCTCTGTGAATCTTGTTCAGAAATAGACCAGGAGAATGTTTAGCGCAGCTTAGCGCTAGGACAGGATGCGAGGGGAAACAGCTTAGAAACAAGTTAGCTTAGGTCTGTCAAATTGGAAAAATGTAGGCTACCTTCCAACAAGTCCAAATATATCTTATTTATACAGGGCATACTGTTTATGAACATGTCATCAAACAGAAATGTGGTTTTACAAGAAGCTTTTTCTTTCACCAAAAACTGCTCTGCCCCTCAACATTCCTGTCCCACAGGCGGCTTGCCTGGTGTATGTATTCACTACCTTGCTGGCTAACAAAATTATCATAGCTTTGTAGTTTTTAGGCATATTTTTTTTTAACTTGCTAGCCATAGCAACTTGGTAGCCATTCCCATATACTTTGTGCTATGAAAGTATTAAAACATACCCATATATACAGTATCTCTGTACAAAATGCACAGAAATGACAATTCATGTCAATGACTGGGTAAGAGCACAAACAAGTGTATCTCCTTTAAGAATGAAAAACACAGGACTCTGTTCACTGGGATGTCATACAGTTATTTTGAAAGGCTTGGCGTATTGTAGGTTCCTTTCCTGGAGTCACTGAGGCACTACTTCCTTCAAAGAAGCAAGGGCTGAATGGATGCGGACATGAAGTCTGTTCTCAAAGTCGTAGCCTGTAAAATCCTCCTAAGGCATCAAATGTAAAATATGTAATCAGTTACTTGTAACATACAATACATGTTTCACATTTTCTGAGAATTTAGATGATTAATGTCTAAATATTTTACCTTAGCTTGAAGTAGCAATGACCTCCCCTTTCCCACTGTCTGGATCACAATACAAAAAATTATATTATAACTGAGCATGTGTTCACATCAGTACAGTCCCCCCCAAAAAAGTGATTTAAAGATCTGAATGCTGTGTGCAACAGACATACCTCCGGTTTTGCAAGGAGTATACATCCAAGCTCATAGACAGCATATGGCTGTACATATGAGTTGATCTGTCGTCCGTACTCATCTCTAGCAGCCAGCTGGAATGCCTGGATCACCGATAAAATGGAAAAAAGAGAGCAAGATCAGTAACATTAAAAGTGTAGATCAACTGCAAAATCATCCTGCACTCAATGTAGAGCGATACCTGCACAGCATCTCTCATATTTCCATGACATTTGTGAATGGCACCAAGAAGGAGGTGTTTCAGGCCTCTGCACGAAGCTTCATCTAAACTCTGTAACACTAAATAAATATAAAGAGCAAATTATCACACAGGGTAAAATGAAATCCACAGAAATCTGCAGCTAATTTTATTATGTTGTTATGGATCATGAAGGTTACATTCACCCTGATTCATTATCTGCAGTTTAGAAGAGGAACAGTTTTGAAGCGCTTTCCACAGATAGAGCACTTCAATTACACCGAGGATGCACAGCTCTCTGGTCGGGGAAGTCTTTCTCAATCTCTCAGCCTGCAGATAGGAATCAGACAGCGAAGGAACACTTATGTGAGACAGTTGTGGTGACTTTTGAAAGAGAGAAAAAGGGTTAAATCTGCAGCAAACCCCACCCTTTTGACAGCAAACTGCTCTATCTGGTTGTTTTTTCTCTTGAACAGCTTCTGCACGTCTTTGAAAACGCCACTTGCTCCATCCAGGTCACCAGAAGCACCCTGACACACTGAGAAAGGACAAAAAAAGACTCCATATAATATAAGGTAGACACATCCCGGCAGTGTTGTTAGCTGTGTGTGACAGGCTTACCTCCGGTCAAGTAGGCATAGTAACACTGCGACCAACGCGACTCATTCTTCAGCCTTTCAAACGACCTGAATGCATCTTCAAAATTCATCTCTATCATGCTGCACCAACCTTATACAAAGACAAGCAGACAGAGTAAAATGAACCCCTCTCTGCACCAAGTGCCAGAATGTCACAACTAACCTGATGAGAAAACACGTACCAATCTCATAGAGACACACATGCTGAATCTCTCTTTGGTCTGATGCAAGCTCTAATGCATCATGGAAACAGGCCAAAGCACTGTTGATATGGCACTGGGGACAGAGAGAGAGAGAGAACACACACACGCCAACTGGTAACGGTAGTTATGTTAGACACACACTACATGCATGTGTTGAATGAGTGTGTGAGGTAAGTAAATGGTGGATCAGATGTTCGTGAGTTAATGAACAATATGACATGCATATTAATTAAATGTGCTTGAACAGAGACTGCTGTACCAGCCAATGGAAGGTTCTACTGTCAAAGACGTCCAATGTCTCTATAATGTTACAGTGCGGCTTATGTGTCATCACCGACCCTGAGCCTGCTGTACATACCTCTAGCCTCTGAACCCGTCCTTTAAAGAACATGAAGAGGGATGAGTTGGGGTAAACCACCGACTTTCTCTGCAGAATAGCTTTGGCCTCCAGCAGCCCCTCATGTGTATCAGAGCCATCCAGAGCAAAGAAAGGCAGCACTACTGTGTGGTACCACAAGAGGGCCAACCTGAGCAGCACAACAGAAATTTTTAATCTAAGGCTCAATGGGAATCTGTATAGAACTGAATGTTTATGAAAGGTGAATATCCAGCTCCAAATGTGACAGAGAAGTTCACTGATATACTATATATACTAATATATACTAATACATACTAATAATGGCAGTACACAATATATTTCAATTCAGAACAAGAAGACATACTTTACTAATCCCTCTAGGGAAAAATAACTTTTTCCACTAGATTTTCACTCTTTTTTATAATTGTTATTATACACACACAGGTCCAAAACACACACACATGCACAAACAGGACCTATACACATGCATTAATGTATGGCAAGATGTCAGTGGAAGGGGCTGCTACGTAGTCAGACGCCCAGAGCAGTTAGGGGTAAAGGACCTTGCTCAAGTGCCCAAGAGGTAAACTGGCCACTACATACAGTCCATAAGCTGGTGCTTTACTCGGACCGCCCATCCTCCAGTTCCCAAGCCAAGTCCCCACGGACTAAGCTGAGCTACTGTCCCCCCAGGTGTTGTTTAAAGAAAAGGGGGGGTGGGGGCATGGACATCTTGGTTCACACACTAATAATGGCTGACCTTTAACCTACCATTAAAAATTTTGTTAACAGTTTGCCAGATCAGGCTAAAAAACAGCCGGTCAAGTTAACCCAGTTGTCATGCATTTGCACTTTAAGGACTTCTCATCCATCCTGGCTTAAACACGGGGACAGAAAGTTCATTTTTACCACAGTAATTAAACAGACCTTGTTGTGAGATTATTTTATAATTGCTGTTTCTGAGGTCAAGGGTGATCGTTTAAGGTCAGCTAGCGTCATAGAGGTTGCTAGGTAGCATATAGTGTACTTCCAGAGCTTTTTTTGCTGACAACACCTGCCTGTCATGACTGAAAATGACGCTGATGAGAGCGGTGAAAGTGAACCAAAACAAGTTGCAGGCTATAACAACAAAACTATGAGCTGAAAGATGCAGAAATGTAGAGCTGGGGGGACCTGCAGAGGTGGGTGATAATTATCTGTGGGGTCATTCATATGAGGGACAACCTTCACAGAGTCACACGTAGTCATTTGATATATTGTATATAAAAAATACTGCTTATAGTTATTTTAAATTCTTAAATTATCTATAGGGATACATCACCTGAACCTCCCTATCCAATGCTATGTCTCACTCCGTAAAAAAAAAGGATACAACCCGACTCACGTAGCTAGTGGCGCCTTCATGTCTTTGCTCTCACTCGCATACATAAGGGAGGACAGGCCCTGAAGACGGTCACCAGGGAAACCCAGTAGATTGATAATCTTGAGCAGGTGTGGTGGTACCATGGAGATGCACAAGTGGAAGAGGCCGTAGCCGAAGCTGACGGAGCCCTTGAGCCGGTCCAGGGCCTCGGGCGTCACTGCGTTCTCCACTGGCACATTGTGGTTGGCGTTGTCTGTCGTGAGGGACTCCTGGTGGACAGAGGACCTCCGCTGACAGGTCTCCTGCAGCTGGCTGATGTCACTGTGGCACTTATTGTACATTTTCCACGCCTTACGAAGAATCCAGCCTCCTTTGATATAAGCTATTTGTGGAAACAAGAAACAAGATACTTTTGATGAGGTTTTGCATGGAGATGCCTCAAGTGGAAGAACGAAACCAAACCAAATGTTTTAATAATTAATAAACAAATGTTTTTTTGCTATCTCCTATGCAGTTATAATGTGAACTCGTCACAAATACGAAGTTTCGAAATTTGATTTGATTACCTGAAAGTTCTTGCTTGACGAAGGAGAGCACGGCGAGGTACACCTGACAGTCAGCGACAATAATCTGTCTCTGTAGGCGGTCCACGACCACAACGCCTGACCTCTGGGAGTCCATCTGTAATACACACATTCAATAAGGAGTATATACATGCACTCTGCAGCTTTCCCCAGAGGCTGGCGGCCAAAGTAACAAGGGGTTTCCTGAATGACCCAGCCCTCACACTCCAGCCTCACTTTGCTGATTACATTTCACGGAAGAACTAATAGAATCTGTGAGTGGGTTTGGCATGATCTCACTGCTGCCTACATCATTAGGCCTGACGCCGAGGATATAAACATTGTTATCGGAACAGTGGCCTGTTCTGGGGACGATATAGGACATGTCAGCAACAATATATGTGTGAAGTGGTGTTATCAGTATCCCTTTATTTCAGCTCTGATCAACTTTGACGGTTGTATTATTATCAGAGTTTAGGTTTTTAGGTCATTTACAGCCATTAAACAGTCCATATCATGTATTTTTTAAATTGTCCATAGTTTTTACTCACACTTTTTTTAATCTTGTTTCTGATTGTCTCTATGACTCCAGCGCTGTCACTCTCACACAGTTTCTCAGTGGTCCTCAAGTCGTCACAGGCCGTCTGCATCTTCTCCTCCTCAAATGTCATCATGGCATTCTGCAATGCAGTGCAGCAAAAAGGTTCTGTTCATAATAGATCTTTTAAAAATCAGTGATATTTAAATGATATATTATTCTAATATCATCATCCTCTTGTTTGACAGAGCAGATCTATGCTTGAGCTGGCTTACAAACAGAAACACCTTGAAATAAGAGGGAAGGAGTGTTATGTAATAGTCTTAAAAAGGACAAAGGGCTCTTTCTGTATAACAATGAATGGAGGAACACAGTGACATCTGTACTGCTGTGCGTTTGTTGTTGGAAATATCCTACACAGCTAACACGATCAGAACATCTTTGTTTTGATGTTGCTGAAACCTCTTAAGATCACCCTAAACCAGTGAGGAAATATTCACACATAAATGAAGTAGGCAGTACAAAATGATAAAAGAGAAAATTTAATGATATTTGAGTGATATTTGAGATGACTTTTGTGGTTTCACGTTGTGATATTTTCTTGTATAACTGAGGCATTATCTCCATTTATGCTGAATTTAATTATCCCTGTGCATGCGCAATGCCCACCATGATGGTCATATGTCACCACCCCCACTGCCTTCAGGGCCATTTAGCAACAGGGGACAGAGGATGACATCATATTTGGCTTCATGGTATGCGTGAGTGTCGTCACAAGGGGCAGTGACAGAGCATGTATGTGTGTTTGTGTGTGTGTGTGACCATGTTGTGCAAAATGTCCCTCTCCCATCGGTGATGGACGCAGTGTAACAGTAATGAGCTTTTCTGCAAGAGCAATACTGTTCTTGAGAGGAAGATGCATCCATTATGTTAATGGGTGGAAAAGCAAGGGAGAGGATGCCAGTGTTGACAACGATGCAACCAATTTGACGGATTGGAATATTTCAGGTTCTTGTTAATGGTTCCTTTCCTTATGAACTGTGGTTGTATGGGCTTCAGTCTAATGCTGCTGCTACATCAGTTATATTAATCACTGTTTTTCTATTCCTAACACTAACTGCCATTTCTTCTGGCATTGTTTTTGGTCATTTTATTACCAGCTGAGAGGAAACTCACCAGGAAACTGACGAAACTGGCCCCAAAGCTCATCAGTGGACTCTGGGTCCTACGGAGAGAACAGCAAGGAGAAAGATGTAGAAACCACATAACAAAACAGAAACAAACATATTTTCTTCCTTAATTACAACAAAATCTCAATCATTTTCTTCTTATAGTTGTCACACACTTCTGTCTCAGCATCCAAAAACCAAAGAGAATGAATCACATGGGTAACTGTGCATGGTAACTTTTCCAGCATAAACTGAGCATGCTCAGGTGCGGGTACAGCTGCAATCCCCATGGTCTAACTACTATCTATTTGCGAATAAATCAGCAAATAAATGCATATTTCACATTTTGGTCACCTAGGTGCATAGTTGTTCATAAAATGTCATCTCTGTTTAATTAAGATGCTACAGTATGTCAGCGGTAAGACAGGTAAGACAGACACCTAGGAGCCCACAGACACACACTCATTTATAAACAGGCTTTAACGTCCATTTAAACAGACAAAACTGTAATTTAATGTTTAATTGTACAGATATATGTGGAATAATGTTTTCACTCTTCGTAAAGTAGGCTATGGTACATTCACTAGATCATGTTTCAGCCACTTGTAACATTTTTCTTGAAGATTATTTTCACTCGCTCATATTACAGACTCCGGCATGCAGCATACTGCAACACATCATTATATAAAGCATCAAATACTTAGGCTACCTGTATCTCCTGAAAAGCTCGTCGCTTTCTTTGAATCCGTTGTTGAGCAGCATGTTAATACCTTGCAGGGCCATCTCAGCATCATCTATGTGCTCTGCCTTCTCCTCTACCTGCTGCTGCTGCTGGGACTGCTCGGGACCCGCCATTGTTTATACCACGGCTCAGTGGCTGCTGGATTAAACCAGTGCGATGGAGAACAAAATGTGAACCTGTTTCTTCTCTGAAACAAACCCGCATTGGTTTATTTCCACTGATATGGGAGACGAATTTAAACTGAGTCGCCTCTGGTCGGCTAAATTAAAAAAAAAAAAAAAAAAAGCTGTGCAGCTTCCGCAGGCTCCAGACGTCTGTGCACCTCACGGATAGGCCACTGATGCCCAGACTGGCTCATTCACACTGCACTCCAGCGATTTACAAGTACTTCTATCATTGTAGGCCTACTTGCAGACAGCAGACGCCTGTACGCTCAGTCAAACGCCAACACGCCGTTATTTGTCACTGAATCTGCCATCCGCCAGTTTTTCACCCTGCAATTCACGTGCAGCAGCATCCGATGCATTACATAACTAGGATCCAGGGTGCTGTGCTGCTCTGCCAGTCCCACGTAATGCGCTCGTCAAACGGCCTGGCGTCATACCCCACAGCGCATCGCCGGGAGGACGGAGGGATGAGGCCCGCTGCTGAGGCGAAGTTGCATCCTGTCCGCCTTCATCCCTCAGACTCCCTCCGCACCCAAAGGGTCCAAGCCCAGCCCTCTCCTCCAAACGTCAGCCAATAGACGCACAGAGTGAGTCGCCTGCAATCATAGTGATGACAGGCAGGCGAGGAGAATCAAGACAGAGCTTGCAGCTTGATTATTAATATTCTGTACCATTGCTCTTTTGCCTGTAGGGCTGCATATATTATGACTATGGTATGATCTACATTTTTCACATTTGAGATATGTGTTATCCTTTCCCCGCCAAAAACGTAGGCTGTTCGTAGCTCCCACGCCCTAGTTATGTTATCAGGCAGAAGAAATAACACAAGTCTATCAAAAAATGTGCAAAAAAAAATCTTAACATGTTTTACATGATTTCTGCGATTTGTGAGGTTGATTCTGCGTGTAAAGTCAGTCTCTCATCCTCATCAAATCTATCACAGTCTCCCCACTGCCAGGTTCAGCTAGCCTATATCATGGGGCAGCAGAGGCTCAGGAGGAGAGTAGTCAGAAGACTAGAAAGGCGCTATAGCCAACAAGCAGGGGCAGACTGGGAAATAAATTAAACCCTGGCACTGTAGCCACGCCTGCCCACCTTACCATGTATCCCCAGGAACACACATTCACTACTTAGGCTACATTTGTTTACAGATGGTGAAATACTATAAACAGTAGGCCTACTGTATATAAGTGCAGCACTTTGTGTTGAAAAGAGCTGGTGACATAAGGTCTGAAAATAGGGGTGTGATGAAAGACTTTGGTCATGAGAACAAGATCAGAAGATATTTTTACACTATTTTGAAGTATTCCATGATAAAATGTTTGAGTGGGGGGTCTGGGGGTCCTGCATTCTGGAGACATTTCCTGCACCACTTTATGGAGTAAATGTCTTTATTTATATGAATGGCAGCACAAAATTCAGCAGGTGACAATTCAAAATATAACAATAAAATGGAATATAATGCAGTAAAATCAGTAGCTTTTTTTTGTTGCTTAAGTAATTTTCTTGGACAATGCACATTTGTTTCTTCTATATTTAAATTGCATGGCATGTTTTGTTATTGTGCAAATAAACAAAGCATTTGCACTTGTGATTTAATTTGGGATTCCAAGCTATTTTTCAGAACATATTTTAACCAATTTCGCTTTCAAAACGTCTTTGGGACATGTCCCCAGCGACCATAGTGTAAATGACACCAATGGTAACAGATTTGTAACATTTTATGTATGTGACTGGCACAAAATGCTCAATAGTTTTTTAAGAGCACACAACAACTTTGCACATGCAGTTAAAACAATAGCTGTCCATCTGTTGTAGAGTCTGTGCTCTCTGTCTGTTTGTCTGCTGTTACTGTCTTTCTCTACTGCAGTCAATTACAACCCGAACTTTTTGTGTGACTGTTTTCTTCCTACCTCTACCACACTCCCTGTCTCTGCTGGGCCTACAGCAGCATCCTTCCTCCCAGCACTAGCCTAAAAGAAGACCAGGGCTCTCTGTCTGTACCGATTCCAGCAACATCCATGAACACGGTAGCCTATAGAACATTGCAGAATATGTTTTCCCACACACTGCTCTCAACATTGGAATACACATGAATAAAAATATTTCTCACTGGCCTACTTAATTCTGCTCTCCTTGCCTTCACTTCTAATATTTTCACACAATAACGGAACATACACCTGCTGCAAACACAGCGGCTTGCCCTACCTCTTTCTTTTTCTCTTTCCCTGTATTTGTCGGCCCTCTTGACTTTCTCCATCAGCAGTGGGCTGTTTTATGAAGTGGCCGAAATGACACAGCACTCGCGATTTTCACCCGCGGGTGCGCTTGGAGGCTTGTTAATGAGGAAGCCAATCGAAACCGAAACCAACATTGTACCTAGTTGCACCTACACCAAAGTGTTCACTGTTGCTTTACCTGGTCCATGCTTATGAAATATCCACCTTCTGAGTCTTATAACGTAATGGAAGATCATTTCTCTCAGTGTTTCTTTCTCAGTGCAAAATGCTTAAATAGGTCGCCAAATATTTTGGGCGGCCCTTAACGTAGGGGAGACCGGGTATGGTTATAACATGGGGAGAGTTGTAACAACACCAATTCCACCAAACAGAGATAAGATAGGAGTTAGGCGATCATTTCAGTATTTACCTACTTCCTCCCAGATCAAGCATGCTGGTTATCAAGTCTGGAAAGAGGTGCATTCAGAATATATAGGAAAAAAATGATTTTGAGGTAAGAAAGTAAATTTGACCAAGACTATTTTTATTTAGTACTATTGCAGATAGAATTGTTTGACTTATATTAGATTGAAATATAGATTCTCAGGCAACATGTGATGCATTTTTTCCTTTCTAATTTCAAACCACTATGGTAATACAGCTAGCTCAACATTGGCTGACAGGGGTGGGGTGGGTTGTATTTTACAGAGTGCCCTTTGCAGTCTGGGCCCACCAAACCTGCACTCCAGGGTTACAAGTATTAATTTGTCAGCACTGTGACCAGTACTTCCCATTCACATGTTGTTCACATGTTGGCGTATGTATCGTCACTTGACCTTTTCCATACTCGGTCTCCAGGGTAGAAAAGTGTATGGGCAGCTTGTGAGAAGAGCCTGTGTGCAAGAAGTGCTGGTATACATACCAGTGATTACTGGCCCACTTCAAGCACTGACTGTGACTCTGAATAAGAATATACACACATTGACACACACACACACACACACACGCACACACACACACACACACACACTAACACACACACACACACACACACACCTCTTTTTAGTTAGACCTAAGTATGTACAGAGATGTTCTTTAATTAATTACATTGTAATAGTATTTAAGTATACTTTTAAGTAAGTTTATTCTATAGATAAATTTACACATACTGTACATGCACGTGAGTCATCAGACAAAGTCCGTTACAGCAAGAGAGAAACATTGTTCTTTTATATAATTACCTGTTTTGGAAGCATATCATATAGTGTGACATCTATTTTTGATTCTTTTGTGTGATTGTTACAACCTACACCGCTATTGGGGTAGGTTGTAACAAGGGAACACATTGCATTTGACATCAACTCACAAGGTCTGTAATATTCTTGTAGAGGATTGAATTGGTGCCATTTGTAGTGAACAAATGTCGATACTTTGTATAAAAATTTGAGAACTCTAGCTACAAAATTCAGCGAGTTACCCCGAAACAAATAGTCCAGCCCCTCTGGCATATGCCAGAATTGCCAGGTGGCCAATCCGCCCCTGCCTACAAGTATACAAGTTCATTTACCATCTATCAGGTTCCATTTGTGCCAAAATTATGTCACATCGCTATGTTGACTGAACATGTTACAAAACGTGTCTATGCCTATTCAACTTTTTTTCAACTGTACTGCAGTTGTGAGAAAACTATTTTGACAATTGTCTATGTGGATTGCTCACCTGACAAAACATTTGTCTACTTCAACTTTAAACTGTGGGCTACCATGGAGGATATTTTTGGTCATAATTCAAACTAAAAGTCCAAATCGAAATGAAAATAATCATGGCAATTGGGATTTGGGATTTAGGAATGTGCGTTTGGGATTTAGGATTGCACATTTGACATTTTGAATTGGGCATTGAGGATTTAGGATTGGCTATTTGGTATTCAGGATTGGACATTTGGCATTTAAGATTTAGGATTGGGCACTGTTGATGTTTGATGCTAGCATCACTGACTGTGGTGACTTGGCTTCTGTCAGCTGATCTTCTGCTAGTCATGTGTGGTCTGCAGCATTGCGTCACTAGCATAACAGTAACGGTCTTCTGTGCAGATTAAACAACTACAGTACTGTACTCCCCCGATTAAAAAAAGCTTGCACATTTTGTTGTCATCTGAGTCATCCTAACCTTCAAGTATTAATAGACCTGAGTACACAGCAACAGGGAAACATGGTCATGTAGCAAAGTCAAATCACATTTATTTGTCACTTCACTGTATACAAAGTATATAAAGGCAAGTGAAAGTTTTGGGTGCTTGCTCCACAACAATGTATCTGTATAGGACACAGACATACCACACATAACACATAACCAATACAGTGTAGTTTAAAAGTGTAATATAATACTTTGAGGTTAACACACGCTCCACTGACTTGCCCTCCTCCCTGCAGAGATGTTTCACCTGGAAATCAATGAACACTTGGGGTCACAGCTTTGGATCAGCTGTCTGTAGTGTTGTAGTACTCGAGACCGGTCTTGAGACTGGTCTTAAGACCCCTTTTTGATGGTCTCGTCTCGGACTCGACTGCAGTTGTACTCAATCTTGTCTCGGTCTTGGACATTGAGGACTCTGATTTTATTTTAAGACCAGTCAAGACCATAATTTTGGGAATATCAATAAATGGTTTATTAACATCCTAACTTTGATTGTATGTATAACATATTTCTTCAAATGCAACCAATAACACTAATTAAAAAATGTGTTGTTACCATTAATGACCTCCCATCCCATCTCCCCGTGATGTTAAGCATGGAAAAGGAGCGTTGAATTAAGATACTTATGTTGACATTCAGCTCTTAGTGTTTGTATGTGGGTGTTTTAATGGGAATGTGGATCTTTCAGATCAATTTGAGAAGTACCTATGATCCCGTACCACATTTTATTGTGTGTCATGTAATGTAGGGAACTAGTCTTGGTCTTGACTCGGGCTCGCGCTCCATAGGTCTTGGACTCGACTTGTCTCAGCCTCTAAAAGTCTTGGTCTTGTCTCCGTCTTGATAAACTCTGGTCTTGGTCTTGACTTGGTCTTGGCTACAACACTAGCTTGGTCTTGGCTACACAATGGAAGCTGGAAGTTAGAGCTACAGCTGATTCTGTAACCCCTGGACTCACTAGACTCACCATCTTAAATCTATGTAAACTTTTTTGTTCAAACCCTGTTAACGTCAGGGTTGATCCTTCCATGCTTGATTGTTTACCGTTCTTCTTATATGATTTGACTGTTGGATAGCCCAAACGCGCCTCAAAAACTGTGGGTATTCAGCCATACATGCGAAAACGAAAGGCGGACAGGCAAAAGCAGAAGTGAAAGTGTAAAAACTCAAAATAAAAGTAGGCTTATGTAACGTGTATAGTTAACTAAAACTAATCTAAAACTAGGTGTGAATATATCATACAGTTAACTCCTTAAACACTGCTCACACAGTGGGCTATAGCCTAAAGCACAGTAGTAAATCATTCTTAAGACCGATATCCAGCATTATGAAATTTCTGATGTGTTTGCTGACAGAGCTGTTAAGCTGACAGAGTAAGCTAAACTCAGAGTGAATGATGATGATGATGATGATACAGTGATGAAGGTGCAGTGTAAAGACAGGGAGCACCTGCTGCTATGACATGGTTGCAACAGGTGTCCAATAAATGCAAAGCAAATATCTCTACTTTTCAGTTGTCCTTTATTTATTCCCACATGATCAACATATGCTCATTTTTCCATATAGGTCTGGTTCTGAAATGATATAAAATATGCATGTAAATAAATATAGCCTATGTTGTAGCTACATAGGTTGCAAATAAACCATAAACTAAATATCAAACGAAATGAACCGCAATAAATACATCTTTATTAATAACCTGGATAGCCTAATTGTTTGTACTATGTAAACTAGTTTACTACTTTACAAAAATACAAACCAGCCATAGGCTTAGTTTAAATCATAGACTGGATAAAAAAAACAAGAATTAAAAACTGTGTGAAAAGATTTAAATACACTCATACTACCATCTACTGGTAAAGAGATGAAACAGCGTGATGTGGATTCTGCGTTCACTCAAGCAACAGAGCATCATGGTGGAAACCAAATTAAACGTCAGTGCTAACAGTAATATCTTTGCATATACAATAATAACTTAGGTTTAGCTATATTACGAATACTATTGCACCAAACAATGCGCTAACATACTTCCATCGGTCCAGGTTTATCTATTTTAATTCTGTTCCCACGTTTCCCTGGTATAGGCTAGTGCTTGCATATTGGCTATTCTACACTCTTTGCTTTTATTTTGGTATATTCACACTGTTTTTGGTTTTTCTTAAAGCATGTCTCAGTAACAGAAAAAAACATGAGGCCTGTACTACGAAGGGAGTTCAACCTACTCAGAGTTAACTCAGGGTTATCAGGAAAACTCAGGGTTGACAAACTCTGACCGCCTACACTGGAGTTAAACGGTACTACACGGTGGATAAGATGTTGGTTGGTTGAATCGTTGTTAACTTAATTGGAGTTGGTGCGTGTTCGCATAAAAGGGGCGTGTTCGGCCGTGCAGGCAGAGTTTTTTTCGCAACGGCGCATGCTCCGTCTTTCTCCAAATTATGAACGTAAAGACAAGTTAATGGCTAATCTAATATCGTGGCGGACGATAAAGCCAGCCAGGGAGGCTTGTCGGCGTCGCACTGAGTAAATTTGTAGCCTAATTATCTTAACAGTGTTTTTATTGTAGTTCAAATCTCTATGTTTTTATGTGCTCTTCTTTTATGTGTAATATGGTAAAGGTCCAACTGCACGTAAAATCCACCGTACTAAAAAAAAAGGAGCCAGCGGAGACAAAATTTAATTTCCACGATTAATCTGCAGGTAAAAAACTTGAATATTCTCTGACAATATAGTCACGCATTTATGAGAGAAACACACATCTGCCGTGTAGTATGCATTCTTTGGAAAGTTATATTAAACTTTGCAATCGGATTTAGCAGTGAGGAAATACTGGTGAGTTTATCCCACAATCACTATCATGCACCTTAGAGACTTTGCCGTGGATTGGGCAGATTCAGAAGAAAACACCAGAGTGATTCTCGATTTTTTGTGACATTAATTTCAGGGAATTTCCGATTTTTCTTCTTGTAGGCTAAATTTCACACTCATCTAGGAATTTTTTTCTCGGTTTATTAACCCCCACCCTGGCTCCCTATTTTTTGAACACGTAAAATAATCTAAATATGTGAAATCACTTAGGAGAATTCAATTATAGACGACAGATGGGCTACATCTAAGAAACTATCCCGTTAACATATTTTATCAAGTGGTGTGTAAATAACCTACTTGTCATCCTTAACACTGAGTACAGATGTGGTGTGTAGTCCACGTACAGGGTAAGTTCGAGATAACCACGAACAAAACCTTAGAGATGCAGCGTAAATTGCCATGAGAACAGACCTCGGGTAACACCTAACCACACCTTTCGTAATACGGGTTAACCGGAAAGTTGCACCCGACGTCACGAAGTTACTCCTGAAGGTAGGCCTACCTGGATAAGCCAGTTACCCCGCTTCGTAGTGCAGGCCGGTATTTCCGCTTCTTTCTTTTTTGGTTCAAAAGCAAAAATACACAAATGATCAAAACGCACACGGACCCTGGAGCGCAAGACATATGTGCAAGCAACAATATATCTGAGTGCAAGTCATTTTGAGCGGAGGCAGAGCAATTCTAAGCGCGAGCAGGGGCTATTTGAGTGCGAGGGCAGGGTTTTGAGGGAACGCTCAGGGGTGGTGCGACAGAGCTAGTGTAGAAGCAGAGTTAGGAGAGTCTGCAGCCTACTCTCTTAAATCTTAATAAAGAAAGACATGGAGCTCGGATCACAGGTTAGTGCTGTGCGGAGTAAAAGGGTACTGGTTGGTGATGAAGTCCGTCCGGCTGTTATCGTAATAAAGGACGGGAAAATCCACCAAATACTCTCAGACAAGGACGTTTCTGGGGACGGTGACTGTCAGGTAAGCTGGCTCTCATTGACCCCAGTTTCAGGAGAATCCTCCTAGTAGAGTGCAACAATTAAATATACGTTTATAAGTTCATATGCATGGATTTAACAATCGATTTGCACTTGGTGTTATTCTGTATGTAACCCAATGTTGGCAGGTGTTGGATGTGGGTGACAGTGTGGTGATGCCAGGTATTGTAGATTGCCATGTTCATGTGAATGAACCAGGACGCACCTCCTGGGAGGGCTTCTGGACCGCCACCAGGGCTGCTGCAGCTGGAGGGGTGACTACTGTCGTGGATATGCCGCTGTAAGTTGGATACTCCCCCCTCCCCAAATTAATCAATACCCACTGTTGGACAGGTCACTGGTGGAAGGTGAAGGTAGCAGGGTAAAGATTGTGAAATAACTGTGTAAGTAATTAGGCCTGATAATATAAAGAAAGTAGTTCATACTGTGTATCTGAGAATTACATTTGTTTTATTTAGTTTTTTTTTATTTCAAATATAAGATGCATATTGAATGAGTTTGGTGTAACTGACCAAGAGTACAACTAGAAATATTAGTTATTTATTTAAATAAATAAATAAATATTTATTTGACCAGTTGAGTATAAGATAACATGTGGACTGAGATGTGGACTTGCATAATGTTTTCCTTTATAACAGTATTTCTTTTCTTATTTCCAGTGTATTACTCTTGTAAAGCACGTTTTGACCATGATGAAGTTGCTATATTAAATACACCTTACTTACTTACTTATTCTCTCTCTAAAGCATTTTCATTCATTCTCATGGTCAGATTATGACATACAATGCAACTATCACTAGTATATCAGTAATATTAGTAATTGTATTATTAGTGTACTAGTATATTAATAAAACTACATGACCTAACCACACTTCTGTTTTCATCAAGCTAATGTGTGTTTGTTGCTTTCGTTGCTTTAGCTCTCAGCCTTTAGCCTAGCTAGTACGGCTGGTCAGTTGGCAGGCAACATGAAAGGTTGATATTTAGGACTAAATAGAGTGCTGAATACATTTAGATAAAGATTTAAAACAAACTATTGCTGAATTTCTCCCAAGAACAAAAAAAATGTTCAGCTGTAATGGAGAAAATTAAAGGCTTGTTTTCCAAAAAATCCTAAAGGCTGAGATGACCTCTCCCCATGGAGTATTACAATGAGACTAAGATCAACTTAACCGCAAGATGCTTTTGACAAACAGCGCCAAGGGAAATAGCAGTTTGGAGACATTAGATTTTAAGTTTTCAGCAGTAATTTTAGGGTGTTTATTTGTTGTTGTTGAAATTCCCACAGAAATAGCATCCCTCCAACTACCACACTTGGTAATTTTTGCGAGAAGCTGCAGGTGGCGACAGGGAAGTGTTTTGTGGACATAGCCTTCTGGGGAGGTGTGATTCCTGGCAATCAGGTAAAGTGGAACAGCTTGGACAAAATGAATACATTGTCAGCCAGGCTGTGAACTAATGAAACTATTACCACAGCAAACACAAACAACAGATGTCTCCATATAGCTAGAACTTCGGCCCATGATCCAAGCTGGAGTGGCTGGTTTCAAGTGTTTCCTCATCCATAGTGGGGTAGAGGAGTTCCCCCATGTGACTGACTATGATCTACACACGGCCATGAAGCAGCTGCAAGGCACTGCAAGTGTGCTGCTGGTAACTCACCAACTGCAGCATCCTCCATAACATTTGTGATTATTAAATCCACATCCCCATATAATTTAATAATAACACCTTCTGCTTTGTCTTCTTTAGTTTCATGCAGAGAGGGATGTTCCACAGACCACAGAGGAGAATGGCGGTAACAATAATTTTACAGCGTACAATAGATCATCTTAATCTTGAAACAAGAAGATTTGTTTTGGAAAATGATGTTCCTCTCTGTAAGTTTTCAGTTCACCCAAATCACAAAATAAATGTTTTCGCTTAGCCCGGATGGTATCTAGTTTCCACTATTTTCCAGTTCAGTTCTCACTATATCATTAAAAATTGTTACCAATAAAAGCTGGTGTTACTTTTCATTGGTGGCAACAGTGGAGATCATAAAAAACAGTCTGCACTTAGGGAAAGTTGTAATTGCAAATGTCTTTTTTTTGTGATTTGGGTTAACTGACCCTTTAAATTTGTCAGGATTGGGTTCAGAAAATTGTTTAACTTAATGTTTACAACCAAGAAGTAGCAACATTCAAGCTATATCTGCTAATTTGATATTCAAAAACCAAAGTTCATTTTAACACAGTATTGATATTACTCTGATATTCTGCCCTCCTCTGGTTTGTATAAACTCCATGAAACTGTGAGGCTGAGGTAAATTGTTGTCCAAAAACAATTTGTTTTCAGTAACATATACATACCTCTGCCTACAACCCTTCCCATGTTAGACCCTACTCAGTACTCCACCTTTCTGCAGTCAAGGCCAGATGTTATGGAGATGGAGGCAATTCGCACAGTCACCCAACTCTGCCTCCAGTACCAGTAAGAACATCAGCGTTGTAACAAATAACCATAATACAGCATAATTCTGATAAGGATTTGGTTTGTGCTTGTAGCCTTGATGCCACAGTCAGTTAACTCTCTCTGCTCCAGGGTGCGGTGCCATATAGTTCACTTGTCCTCTGCAAAGCCAATGAAACTGATCCAGGAAGCACGGCAGGCCGGAGCCCCCTTGACAGTGGAGACTACCCACCACTACCTCTGCCTGTGTGCAGAGAACATACCTGCAGGGGCCACACAGTTCAAGTGCTGCCCCCCCATCAGAGGATCTATTAACCAGGCAAACAGAATACGCTGACTATTTTCAGTTTGAGCCTCAACATAAAACTGCGTTGCATTTGCTTTATTATTCTTTGATAACAAGTAGGTTGGTTTTGTCCCCACAGGAGCAGTTATGGTCTGCACTGAAAGCTGGGCATATTGACATGGTGGTGTCTGATCATTCCCCCTGCACCCCTGATCTAAAGAAACTGGATAGTGGAGACTTCACTCAGGCTTGGGGAGGAATTTCATCTCTACAGTTTGGTAACTACAGACTAGTGACATACTTCATTTCTATCCAGTGGAGCAACGATCAAAACTGTAGTCATAGCACGACTGCTAATGCAAAACGCAATGCAACATAACATCATGTTGTGTCGCGACCTGTTGTGTCTGCCATTTTCCAGGATGTCCAATTCCCATATTCATTCATGACAATTCCCTGAAGGTCCCAGAGTGCATTGTAAAAACTATGGTCCATGACTGGGAGTGTTACCAAAATTCTGCATACTTGTCATATGTTAGACTATAAATAAAGCAGCTAAATGGTAAAAAACATTGCATTGAATAAGTGTCAGCAAAATGATACCAAAATGGCTACATAGCCAACATCTTTGGCAGGTAAAAAAAATAAAAGCTAGAGCTACAATATCAATATTTTTAACAATTTTGTTATTTTTAACAAAGTCCCTCTCGCTCTTCAGCTTTTAAGCCTCTTTCAGCTCATTGTTTTGGTTTGACGGCCCACAATTGTACAGTTTTGGTCCACTCTTCTTCTTCTCATCAACCACATTTCCAGCCAGCTGTTGTCAGCTAAGAGCTCTGATAAACCGAAAGTTAACAACTACCTGTGAACATGGTGGAGCATTTAGCACCCAAAGAAATATATTTCCTTCAAAAATTGATGTAGACCACACCAGCGCTAAAAGAAGAGTAAATATTGTACTTACATTCACCAGGTGGCCAGACTCCTCCACAGAATTCAAATGAATGCTGAAGTTTTTGTCCGCTGGATTGGGGGGCGTAAATAGACAAATGTTTGCAAACATGTTCGCCATATCAGTGTTATAAGGCAATAATGTTGTGTTTACACCTAGTTGTGCTGCCACTCAGAGTTTGCTTATGACAATGGCTTATAACAGCCATTGTTATTCCTGCAAATGCTAAGCAGTGTATAAACATTTATTTTTATAACTTTTATAACTTCATTTTTCATGACATTGTAGCCCACCATCAGGAGTTGTTTGATGTGATGTTATCTTTCTCTGTCCCAAAATTGTGTCACAGGTGATGTGTCCCCATATTCATTGAATCTGTAATTGGTGCCCTGATTTAATTCACTCAATGATTAATTTTACTGGGGAGGGATTTGAGACAGTTCACTAAATTGAACATGTCAGGTGACACATACTATACCACTTATCATAGATACTTTTCCTAATGAGTGTTTTAATTTCTAAATATAAAACTTTTTGCTATGAATCGGAAAATGCACCAGCATCACTGTAAAGTTTACATGGGTGCTGCAGAGTCACAGTGGTTTTCATATTATTCACTGTGTAGAGCAGCTCTGGGATTTGTCTTTATATAAAAGATCCCCTGGCTAACACACTCAACTTAAACCTGGCCTGTGCAATATCACAGGGATTGTATATGCACATTTTCCCTTACATTGGACTGGCTGTTCCCTCTTTCTACCCGTAATCCTTCTGACAGTCACCCACACTGGGCAAAGTTCACAGGGAGGTAAACAAGAGCGGGGTGCCAGACAGAACAATCATTTACTGTTCAGACACAGTGAGAGAGTGGTCAAAGTCTGACACCAGGAAGACTCTGACACTAATCCACAAAGTTTAATACTTAACCTCAATGAGATTGTGACACTTTCTGCCATGACTGCACTTTTACAAAAGAGACAAACTCTGAAAAACCTAAATATTTGATGGTGTTAACTAAGTTCTCTATATTTAATTATATACAGGTTTGCCGCTGTTCTGGACTTCAGCCAGTAAGAGAGGCTTTCAGCTGTCTGATGTGGTGAGACTCCTCAGCCAGAAAACAGCCCAGCTGTGTAGCCTTGACAACCAGAAGGGCAGCCTTGCTCCCGGCTATGATGCTGACTTGGCCATATGGGACCCAGAGAGAGAATTTGAAGTTAGTATAAAGAAATCTACTTAAATATGTAGGGCCTTTTCAACAAAGAAAAGCTATACACTTGCATTGTATTAAGCTTCATTTCATTTTCTGTCATGCAGATTAAAGCAGCAAGCGTATATCATAAAAACAAGGTAAACCACATTAAGTGAACAAATGGTGTAATTTAAGGAGCACATTTTTTGAGTGCGCTTATAATCCTGTGTGTGTGTCTGTGTGTGTGTACAGCTAACTCCTTACCTCGGCGTCACACTGCAAGGAGTGGTGTGTGCCACCATTGTCAGGGGGCGGCTGGTGTACAGAGAAGGCTCCTTCTGCCCCGAGCCTCTGGGGAAGCATCTCCTCATCCCTCAGAAGAAAATGTGAAACTATATGAAATAATGACAGCAAGTTGTAATAAACCTCAACAAAGAGTTATTGTGTTGTTGATAAGAGTACACCGGGTTGTTCATTTCTTTCACATCTAATACATGCTTTTATATTTTATTATCTTAGAATAGTGTCAGAAATTGAATTTAAGGGCCAATAACCAACCAAAACATTGAAATAGAAAGCTGGCAACAAGTTTCCAGTTGATCAAAGCTACAGAAACTGTAGAGAAAGAAGACGTTAAGAAAGTGTTTATGGACATGATAAGCCAATTCTATCGTGGCCGATGTGATGAAAACAGAAACAGAAATAAATTAAATCGATGAATTGTATTATTTTGTTATGAATACCACTGTTCCCTGCCAGCATGTGCTTACAGCAAGATCCAGAATGCCACATTTATAAATAATACTAAATAGAGTCCAAAGATTTGTTTTAAATTTGAATACTGTAGATATCCTAATAAATACTACTCAAAATTGTTCCTTCATTTTCAGGTGTCTGAGACAAAGTTAAAACCCTTCAAATCTCATGCACATCAGAATTAAAAGTATTTAAAAAATATAAAATAAATAGCTCTCACTTTCTGCTTCTTCCAAATCACACAGCCCACGCAGTCTGTGTTCTAATTTTTTTTTGTAAGTTTTTTCTTTGGCTTCTAGATAAGTGTGCTTTAACATGATGAGATACAACATATGATTCAGATCCATAGCAGCCTCCTCCAAGATTGAATAATAAATCCAGTTCTGAATCTTTTGGGGAGTCTACACAATGAGATTATCCTTTTTTATCTGCCTTTATTCTCTTATTATCACCAAAAGGGAGAATTCTGCCAATTCTGTATATTACACCAAAATATTACTAGGGAAGAGGCACAGCAGTGTAATAGTTAAGTCTACCGCTCTGGAGAGCCTCTGGTCAATGATTAACATTTGAGGACATGTTGGGTGACTTCCTTTTAAAATGGGAAGGTATCAAGCTACCTGAGCTCACTGTGCACAGAAAGCAACAAGAAGACGAGATAAAAGCAACGAATGTTGTGACAGACTCCTGACCGGAGGACCTCACTGGTCAAACAGAGGGGTGTGCTCACCTGAGGCTCTACTTCAACTGCTTCCACGGCTTTTTGTGGTTTTACTGCGCTTGTCACACTGCCTTGAACATGTCGTCCTTCTATGTACCCCCACCGAAATGCCTGCAGAAATCGTTGGTGGTTCCTCATCGTCACATGTTTGGACCAGGACCTTCTAATGTTCCTCCACGAATCTTGGAGGCAGGGGCCAAACCTGTCATTGGACACATGCATCCAGAGATATTTGAGGTAACTGGGTGTAAGCTATTTAACACGCGTGATGCAGCCCTTCAAGGAAAAAAGGCATACGAGAAATACAAGTAAACTGCAGGCTACTGCTACCACAAACAGTATAATGATATCCACTCTAAAAGCTAAAGATGTAGTATTGACACTGTGAAGGAGTGTGGGAATGATTGTAAAATTTTTCCCTGTGCTTTCCCAATCTCCCTACTCAGTTGAGACACATTTCAGTGTTTTTAAAATGGTTTTCAGCATCTCCACTGTGCACACACTGCGCTACTTTTACCCAAGTAAAGGATCCATGTACATCTTCCACAACTGGAAATTGCTAAACTGCAGCAAAGTTGTATCATTATCATTGAATGTTTTTATTCAGCAAAGCAACTGTGTATGTCTGTTTGTATTGCTATCTTTGTGAGGACTAATTTCAGTTTTAAACCATTGTAGTGAGGACATTTCTGCATTGTAAGGACATTTTGGCAGGCCCTCACCACTTCAAAGGACTGTTTGGTTAAGACTTGTTTTTAAGGTTTAGGTTAGAAATTGGTAAGGGTTAAGGTAATAGGGTTAAGCATTTCAAGCAATTGCATTATGTCATGTGAGGGGCCTCACAAGTACAGAAAGACAAACGTGTGTGTGAGAGAGTGAGAGAGAGAGAGAGCATGCTTGCAATTGGGGCTGCAACTAATTTATTTTCATTATAAATTGATTATTGTTATATTCTAGATAAATCAGTATGGCCCATAAAATTTTTTAATTTCCAAAAGTACAGGATTATGTTTAAATGTCTTGTTTTGTCTAAGCAAAATCAAAAACCCAAACGTATTGCTGATCAACTAATCAGATATTCTGATATCTAGCTCGCTCAGGATTGGGCAGACTTAAAGTGTGGCAGCTAACCTATGTTCAGACCAGATCTATCTAAACTACCCTTTTCACCAACATTTGCTCTTTTCACATCACAGATAATGAGTGACATCAAAAGTGGAATCCAGTACATGTTCCAGACTCGGAACAACATGACTTTAGCTGTGAGTGGCACTGGCCACACTGCTATGGAGTGTGCCATCTTCAACACAGTGGAGCCAGGGGAGAGTGTGCTGACTGCAGTCAACGGCATATGGGGAGAGCGAGCAGCAGAAATGGCTGAGAGGATAGGTAAAGCTGGTAGTATTCTATATTTTCTGTCAACAAATCCTATGAAAAGACCAAATCGAATGAGTTAGTCCATCTCCCAGTACTTTCTGACATCCCTGTCAACCCCAAACCCATTGTTCCTACTGAAGATGTACATTTTTAAAACAGATCACATATACTATAAATATAAATATTTTAATTTGATAGTAAGACTCAGGCAATTCATATAACAGCTGGACACTGTAGTATTTAGCAAACAATATCTAAACAGGAGTAAACAGTGCATTTATTGGGCACTATTTTCAGCTGCAGATTAACACACATTGGAGCACTAGTATTTGCATGTGGGATTGACTAAACTAATCTTTTAAAATCAGCTTTAAATTAATGTAATTTTAATTATTCTGAGGTGATTAAACCAAAGAATATCGTGTGTGTCAATCCCACAGGTGCCAGAGTGAATACCATCGTGACGCCCCCTGGTGGTGTCTTCACTAATGCAGAAATTGAGCAGGTATTACTCTGACATTCCAGTTCTCAGGTAACTCAAATCCATCCTGTCAATACCATGGTCATCATACTGTTATCTCCTCACAGGCCTTATCAAAACACAAGCCAGTGCTGTTCTTCCTTGCACATGGAGAATCTTCTACAGGAGTCTTGCATCCTTTAGATGGCATCGGACAACTGTGCCACAGGTATACTGCGGCGCTCAATCCTCTGTCATCATCACATCTATAACAAATGTAAGGGCAGATAATTGCTATATTATGAACTGTGCCAACAGGTATGACTGCTTGTTTCTCGTTGACTCTGTGGCGTCGATTGGAGGGGCTCCTCTGTACATGGACCAGCAAGGTTTAGTATTAATTTCTGCTAGATGTTTCCAGTTTCTCTAGGGCAGCTGATGAGAGCATTTATTGTGTGAAATTATCTGTTTTGATGGCACCAAAGATTTCTTTTGTGGATGTTTTGCAGGGATAGATATCTTATACACAGGCTCCCAAAAGGTTTTGAATGCTCCTCCGGGTACAGCACCCATATCATTTAGTGAAAGAGCATGGTGAGAAATGCATATACAAGTAATAGTTTAAAATATATGTAGCATGTGTATTTAGGGTTGAATTTGCCCACAGCCAGAAAATATTTAACCGGAGGACAAAGCCTGTGTCGTTCTTCTTGGATTTGAGTTGGCTTGCAAACTATTGGGGATGTGATGACAAGCCGTCAAGAATGTAAGACATCTTTTGTTCCTGCAGACATGAACTGATTATATTTCAAATTTTTAGCCAGACTTGTACAGTTTCTAAATATTGCCCTGTCTTCTCCATTTCCTGTCTATAGATATCACCACACAGGTCCAGTCACTGCTTTTTACTGTCTGAGGGAGAGCCTGGCTGTCCTTGTTGAAGAGGTGGGACATTTGTTAGAATGAAAAATTTAGATTTGGCATCTTTGTCGAGCCTTAACAATTCTGTACAGAGAGCCATTGAGCAGGCTAATGTTTAGTCAGTGACAACAACCTCTGTGCCAATGACACATTTGTAAGAACAAGGCATAACTATGAATTAGCCATTAACTAGCTTTTGCTTTGTATGCAAACAATAATAGCTTTATAAGCAGAATACTGCTGTAACAACATGCAAGCAGCACGTTGTCCATTGTGCAGTGTTCAGTACTAATTAGCAAAGTTAGTACGCTAAACTAAGATGATGGACATGGTAAATGTTATACCTGCTAAACATCAGCATCATAGAATGTGTAAAAGAAGATCAACATGTTAGCATTGTCATTAGCATTTAGTTGAGCACCACTGTGCCTATTAGCATAGCTATGTCACAGACGCTTAGTGTTAGCATAGGCTACTAAACCCTGATTAGTCACCTGAAAATTAACATGTACAAACTGGAAATGGGTTATGCCTGAATTGTCAGTTATTCTATTATCATTTGTCTGTTGTATGACATTTTCTGTTAATGTAAGGGACTGGAGAATTCAGTGGAAAGAC